GGACTTTGCAGGACAGCCGCTGGCTCAGAGAAGATGAAGAATCAGAAGTCAACCGCGGCAAATCCAAGCCCAGCACTTGGTTCCGATGCCTTTGAACTTTTGGTTGTGCCGTCGCCCAGCTGTCAGGGCAGATTGCTACGGATTTGTGCTACCAGCTTGAGATGCATCAGACTGGGTGCCTTCCTTAGCACAGCATGTTTGACACTTGTGAACTTGCACCATTGCGCGTCCTAAGATGGCTTTTGTCACTTGCTCTTCTTGGCTGAGGCAATGCTGGTGCACAACGTGTCACCTCGTACCGGAAAATAAAGGTACAACTGCGGCACAGCAGTGTGACTTTGCTTGACTTAAAGAGTTAGGGAGGTGAATGCTCACACGTTTGAGCATCAGGCTGCGGTCTTCAAGTCAAGCACTTGGAACTTTAATCCTTTCTTTCCCCAAAGAAGGTCACTTGGACACCATTTCCGCAAGGCGGCTTGCCCTAGCAACTGGGCGCGCGGACCCACGTCGCCGCCGCGAGGCGTGAGAGAAAATGTGGCGTTCACGCAGCCGTGCCTAGCTCTAGGACCCTTTCACCCGAGGTGCCAGAGCTATTTTTGTTGGTGAGCTGGCCATGATCAGCTCCTGCAGCGATTGCCCGAGCTGGATGACTTTACTTTCTCCCTTTCTTTCCCCCATCAATCTGCGGTGAGACCGGATGAGACGTGAAAATGGACCTCCGCGCCTGGCACCTGCGCGCTCGGCACCTGCGTGCCCAGCACCCAGCGGGTGTCGGACAAGACGTGGCACTTGTGTATCGTTTTTTATACGTCGGTGGGAAGTTGGCAGAGGCTCACAGCGAACGCGCCCCGTGAAGCTCTGAGCATTTGGAAAATATGTTTGGGCTCGCCACCTCCTAAGGCAACGCCGGGCCGGGGTCCAGGTGGTTGAGGCCGGTCCTCCCAGAGCGGCTGCTGTTGCGTGGCTCGTCTCGCTGACGGCAGTCCGCTGCGGCGCGAGGCACAGGGCAGACGCGGCGACAGCGCCACCACGTGGCTCGGCTAGGCCCATCCGCGCCAGCACGCACGCGCGGCTCGCGCTCATCACCCCTCGTCTGTGACATGGGTCACGCTCATCAGGAGTCCAAGGCTCGGGCCGTGCCCGAATGATGCCACTGGCCCCCTGCCCTCAGCAAGCGGCGTGCTAAACCCGATAGCCACCGCGCGCTCGCCGTGTTTTTGGCGTCGTGGGCCGACGCGGAGCCGGCGGTCCCTCCCAAGACGATGTCCCAATTACGATTGCGCTTGTTGCGGCGGGTGCACGAACGCACCAGGCAGCTCTGCAGGGGATCCTCGATCTCGGCGGTCCCGGGACTTTCAGTTGGGTTCCGAACCCTGTCGTTGGGCTCGGAAAATTGTCATTGGGTTCCCAGCCCACGATTGTGGTGTGGCAGTTCTGGGGTTAATTTTCTCACCATGCGCGCTTCGGTTCGCTGCCACCACCCCTTGCCGAGCCATATGCCGAGGAGCGCAAGATGGCGGTCCGGCAGTCCTGCGCCACGTGGATCCGAGCGACGGCCAACGAGCCTGCCAGCTCGGTGCGCCATTTGTATATGCATCGCGCCGGTACTCCAAGCCAAGGAGCTGGATCACTCATGCTGTTATGCTCGTCGACCTCAGCGGCCCTGCTTGCTTGCTCGAAGCTTACCAAGCGGAGGTCTTGTGGCGGGCGGCCGGTTGGCCAGCCTCCCCATCCTTGCAGGCACGTACTGCGAACGCGCGTCCCGAAACCTCGTGATCCTCAAGCGAGGGAAGCCGCAGCCCGCAGATCTATGTCAGCCCGTAGATCTTGGTCAGCTGTCAAGCGGACGCCGCACCAACATTGCCTGGCGGAAGGTGTTCTGCGGGTCACACGCCCTGTTGCGGCACATGGGACGTCAAACCAGCCAAACCACCTGCGACGCCCTGCCAAGTTTTTGATCATGAAATGGCCAACAAAACCAAGGGCAACCCAAACAAAAACACGCAGAACCCTCCGAAAAGAAAGGGTGGGAGCCAGCCACTTGAGCCAAACTTGATCCAAAATGGCTTGAACCAAAATGGCCTGGCCACTCAGCTGCTGAACGGCGAGTCCTGCCCGTTTGTTGGGGGGAGACGTCACGCCGGGGCTCCCGACTCCTCCCTTGCCTGATCCTGACAATTGCCCCGCTTGCTTGGACGGCGTTGGTGCGGCTACTCCCTGTCACTGGCCCGTGTGCGGACACGCCTACCATGCTTTGTGTCTAGCGCGGTCTCGCGCCCATGTCTGGTGCATGCAGTGCGCTGTTTGCCGCCAAGGCTGGCAGCCCGGGTTTGATGCGGAGCTCGAGGCCTTTTGCTGCCGATTGGGCATCGACTGGCATGCTTTGCAGTTACAGGACCCGGTCCCACGTTGTCACAGCCAGCCCCGGCAAAAACTTCCAACGTTGAGCCGGCACGCGCTGCTCGGACAGACGTTCGCCCCCTCGCCAGAGGCCCAGCACGCGCGGCGGGGGCGCCCGCCGCAGAGGCACCGTCAGCAGGAGCCGTGACCCTGACTGCCGTCACAGCAGCCACAGCTGCGGGCCAGACCTGGCGGCTCGCCTTTTTGCTGGCCCCGCAACCGACAGCGCTGCGCGGCCGAACGCGCCGCCTTTGCAGCCCAGCCAACTCACCGATTCCCAGCTCCGCACTGCCCTGTCGCGTCTGGATGCGGTGGACGTGTTGGCCCTGCTTCGCGTGCAGGTCTTTGTGTTCCAACCCCCTCCGGCTTTTGTTCGTGGCACTGTGCGTCACGCGCCTTCGGCGCCACTTGTCCCGGCCCGAATGGCGCCACCGACTTCGCGCCTTCCACGTGGATGACGTTGTTGGCCGAAGTTGCCCAGGTCCTTCCAGGGGTGATGACCTGCCACGGGCTGCCCCCGCTGCGGACGAGGGCCCGGCGGGTTTTGCAGGACCTGCCCGCAGCCCGTTGTCCACCTCGTCCACCTTGGGGAGTTATCCGCCGCGCGCAGGGCCCTGCCTGCATCCCCCTTTGCTCTCGGCTCCAGGAGCTTCGTGATCCGGCGTGCCGGCCGCAAGAACCCCTGGCGGGCCCCCGTCGTACTCGCCAACCTTCGCAGGGCCAAGAAGGGTTCCTCGCCCGGCGCTTCCGGACACACTGCCAAGCTCCTGCGCTTTGTCCTCGACGACGAGGCGGCCTCCGACCGCTTTGCTCAGGTCTCTCAGTTGCTGGCCAGAGGTGCCCCCCACCATAGCATGGCCTCGGTCGGCTCGTTGCTCTCACCAAACCTTTAGGGCGGGTCAGGGGCATTGTTGTCAGTGATTTTCTTCGCCGCCTCGCCGCGCGAAGTCTAGCGCAGCAGTATGAGGCGCCCATCCAGGAAACGTGCAGCCCGCATCAATTTGCCTCGCCTGCTCGCTCTGGCACCAACTCGGTGGTGCACGATGGTGCACGCCCTTACTGTGGCAAGCGAGCTTGGCCCCACTGCCACCATCGTCGCTGTTGATGGGGTAGGAGCCTTTGACAGGATCTCTCGCACTGCCATGCCGCATGGCTTGCGGTCCCTGGCGCCAATGTTGGTCGGAATTTGTGTGGCATGACGCTGATGGCGTCCCCCATGCGGTTTATCAGGCGGAAGGTGGGGAACAAGGAGACCTTTTAATGCCGGCGCTCTACGCTCTCGGCCGGAAGCCCGCCCTTGCGGATGTCCAGAAGTCTTTGCGCTTAGGCGAGCCGCTGTTTCCCTTCCTGGATGACACCAACTTCGTGAACCGCCGCCTCGACCCTTGTGGCGACCACCGCGCAGCGTGCGCCCGGGCTGGGTTGTTGCGGAGCCACGGTCGCCCTTTCGAGCGAGCGGCCGCTCGGGTCTGCCGCGAGGCGGGCGCTCGAGTCACCGTCAACTCATGCCTTGCGGACATGAACCTCCCGGTCGACCTCGGTGACGGGCGCCTTGACGCCTCTTTCCTCTTCCGGCGGGCCCCGTAGACATGCTGGCCGCGTTGACCGGGCCGCCCTGCGCGAGGCCCGGCGCCGGAAGGAGCGCACCTACCCGGAGCTGCTGCGATCCCAGCGGTGCTGCCTTGTCGTGCTTGCCATCGAGGTCGGGGGCCGGTGGAACCCTGAAGCGTGCAGCTTCCTCCGCAGCCTCGCTCGCGCGCGAGCTCGCTCCACGCCGGCCCTCCTTCCCGTTGGTCCGCCTTGCTCGCGTCTGCCGCCCACTAGGCTTTCGCGGAGGCCCTCCTCCTTGGCTCTGTCTCGCCTGGCCAGTTGCGACGCTCTGCCACTCAGTGAGCTCCTTGCGGAGGCCGCCGCCTTGCAAGCCGCTTGAGCAGGTGAGGACGCTGGCCTTCAAAAAAACAGCGTGAGTGCCCCTGGTGCCTCGGGGGCCCCCTTAAGCAATCTGCAGATGCTCTTGAGTCGATCAGCAGGTGACATGTCGTAATAGTTTGGCATGTGATTGCTGTTGCTGTGGTTGTAGTACTGCTGAGTACTGGAGCTCCCCTATGTTTAGGATTTCAGCTCCGCTACCACGTTAACATTAGTTGATATTGTTACTACAAGTGCAAGCGCTGTAGTGTTCAAACAAAAAACAACCAGTGTGGTCTGCAGCTGCCATCTTTGTGACTCATGCGATGTAGTGAGCTCACGGCCTGCAGTAGTGAACGTTCATGCAACACAAGTGCAAGACGTGAAACATGTAGTTTGATAAGGGAAAGAAAAAGAGAGAGGGAAAGAGAGAGAAACAAATCCGTTTCCCCGTTGCCGTGGCTACATACCGACACGCAGCTGGCCATGAAAGCTTGCAGCCAAACATGCGGCAAACTTGGACAACGTGGCACGGCAACAAGTGAGTAAGCACATACCACAAGTTGATCCAGTTGCCCACGCAGACACACATGCCAACAAATACAAGTGCACTCGCTGGTTGGTCTGCTTTGAGGAATAGGCACTCAGCAGACGACGGCGAGTGTTGTTGCAAAATCCGGGCGTGATGTGCGATGAGCTATTGCGGTGGGATCGTGCCGCCGTGCCCGCGAGTTGCCAGGTTGGGAGTTGGGTGCAGTTTGATGTTTATGCGGATGTTGCATGTTTGGCAGGTGCAGGGCGTCGTGGCATACCGTGCCCTCACGGACAGAATTTGCCTTATTTGCCGCAGCAGTCGCTGCGTATTCGGCTGTTTTGAGTGCATGTGCTTCAGTGTGATTAGCTTGCGTGTGCAGGAGCCAGAATGCAGTTAGCACGTGCAAGCAGAAAGGCCAGAAAGTTGCTACAGCTGCATGGTGACAGCCTTGGAGCACGTCAGTGGTTTGGCAATGGATGCGAATTCGGTTGACGTGCCTAGGTTCGTGTGGCTCGCATCTCACTTATACCTGCGACGAGGCGCTGCTTTCGTTTCTTTGGTGGGTGGATTATGATTTTGACAAGGCCGGCCTCTGGATGTAGCACGCCATGCAAAGGCCGTGTCCGCTTGACAAGCAGATTGCACATTGGTTTTGACTTGTGAAACTTGATTGTACCCGGCAATCAGTCTTGGAGGGTGTCAAACATGTTTTGATCCCATTTCAAGTCTAGCAGGAGGATCGGTGGTATGTTCCGTCATTCAGGCATGCTGCACGTTTTGAAATTAGTTACAACAGACACAGCAAAAACAGACAAGCGCTCAAGTCAGCCTTGTCTCAAGCAGCATGATGCACACAGAAGTCAATTTCTGCCCTTCGATTGCCACCTTCTAATTGACGCGACTCATGGCGCATGACAAGTGCAAGTCTGCGGCCGGTTGGAACAATGAAGAGCTACAAAAACGTGCAGGCCAGGATGCAGATATGGCCCAGGTAGTAGGCCAGCTTTGCATATAATATCTGGTTCACCTCGAGGAGTATTTGTTGTTCTCATCGGCGGCTTCCTCATTCCAATGTGGATGTCAGCCTGGTATTGCCATGCAATATTGTGCTGCTTTGTGGCAGGAGGACGGTCAACTCGCCCAGCAGCCAGCAGTTGCAAATTCACATTGTTTTTGCGTCGTTGAGGATCTTTGGAGTTCTGGCACGCAGTGTGGAAGAATGCAGCCACTGCCAAGGCAGGACTTGCGCACACAGCCCGAAAGTTTCGTGGCTGAGCATTGTTGGACCTGCTATGATTTGGAGTCCTATTATTTGGGGGTGGTGCCTTCACACTTGATAAACCCCCACAAAAAGGGGGACACCCGCTTCTAATGAACCAGTAGTGTATTAATCTGAGGATCCATTAGGAGCTCCTATTGTACTGTTGGTTGTTTTCTATTCAGGATCCTGCACCTATTGTGAAGGTCCGGTCCAGTATGATAGAAACTGAATCAATTATTCAAGCAAAGCTGCACACTTGCAAGCCGTTTCACGGGCAAACAAATACAAAGTTAACACCTTGGCCCTTTTCTTTTGAAGGGGTGATTTGTTCGAGCCCACGCAGATCTAGGAATTTCTGTTTTTGAAGTGGCGCCCCCTTTTCTATAAATTTGCAACCCTGAAAAACACACACAGACCAAACAGCCTCACAAAGAGGATAGTCCAGAAGAGCCCCAGATCCAATTTAATCTGCCTCTTTCTTGGGTCCGCTTCAAGGCAGAAGGGTCACATTTGACCCTACCTCAATATCTATCGGCTGTAACCTTCCTTGGAATTGCTCTCCTTGAGCAGCAATTCTCGTTGTCACGCAATGTCTTTTGTGGGGCCATTGTGGACATGTTTGCCAGGACCATGTGGAACTGAACCTAAGCCTTGAAAGCCTTAGGCCCAAGCCGGAAGCTCCCCCAGACCTAAGCCCTACAATCCCCAAGCCGAAGCTGAAGAGAGCGCAATCAAACAACAACCCTAAAATTCCTAAACCTAAACCCGAAAGCCCTCAACCTAAAGTCCAAATACCTAAATCTAAATCCTAAGAACCTTCAATTAAACTCCCAAAACCCCAAACCTCAAACCCCGGTCCCATGTGACGTGTTCTTCGGTCGAAGCAGGGTAGGTCAAATGCGACGGTCGGGTAGGAGAGCAAAGCCGTAGCCTTTACCTCGAAAGGGTGCTGGAAATCCAAGATCGAGCATTGGCAGTGCTAGTTTTAGCTTTGGCAATCCTAAAGAAAATGCCGAGAATCAACAAACAAAGCAACCCGGAATTACGCATTTGCAATCCTGAATTTAATGTTGCTACTCGGAACCAAAGATAAGCCATTTGCGGTACTGAACATTGGCTTTGGTAAGTGAGATTATATTTTGGCAATATCAGGTGTAGCATTCCCAACGCTTAAGTTGTGTTGCTACTACTAATGAACTGGTGGTCCAACCCAAACCCCAACATTTCCCCACACAAGGGTCAGGATAACCTTTTTTTTTTGGTGTGTATGGGCAGGGTCAGAAATAAGTCCAACATTATTGATTGACCTAGTCTTGCCAGGAGTACATGCTGATGTTGTGCGTGTACTGCATCTGGAGCTTGCCGACGATTGCAGCGCTGCATCGATACCGGCAGCTTCTAGGACACGAGCGGCTGGCGGATCCACGACCTTGTTGAGCAAGTCTTTTTCAAGCTTGTGCTGGAGGCTAAGTTGTCTAAGTTGGAATGCTAAGTTGTTTCCAGCCACACGAGCCACTCGAGCCTAAGGAGTGTCTCCTTATCCAACTGGTGGTGGGGGATTCTGCGCAAATGATAGTGGGGCGCAGCCTGGGTCGGCACTATGTTTGCCCCAGGCTCTCTCCCAAGAAGACCCTGGAAGGCGCTTGCTGTCATTCTTTGCTTGGCGTGGCCCAATATTCGTAGGACGGTGAAGCAAACATGCACGCCGCCGCAGGCTATGTGGGTGGCTGCGCGCTGACTTTGTTATACGGCATGGTGCTGCACAAATGGTCTGGCATTGATGTCTTCATCGCCTACGCTTTCGGTTACGCTTTGCATTAGATCTATCCTGAGTGAAGCTAGTGTGCATGAATGTGTTTCTTGGTTGTGTGCGGCCAGCAACACCCAGGCTGCGTGGGAGACTTGTTTTTCTCAGCTGTAAAACGTCGCCTGGGTATCAAAGACTATTCCCGGCTTTTATCCTCACATGGCGGCTCTCCAGATATGGCAAGTTGTTTACTTGGTTACTTGTTGCTTCTTTTGCTTGGCATTTCTGTTGGCTCTGATGTGGTCACCAAACCGTATTTCTGAGGCGGTCTTCTCGACAGGATCGATTCGTTCATGTTTGCAGCGAATGCATTGGTTTGGAAGGCCCCGTGGGTTCAGTGCCGCATGTCTTGCAGGGAGCGGTGTTTGGCATGTAATACGCTTTTGGCATGGCCACCTTTTTTGCAGGCTGCCTTCTTTGGGTCGTGATGTGATGCAGATCACTCGGGCTCCGCCCATTTGCAAAGGATTTGCTTGCTCCGGACATGCGGAGAAACAGCAACTGTTAACGATTGTGGCATCAGTCAGACAAACGTGCTGACAGTTTGAGAGTTCAACATCTGTACAAAGAATCTTTAGCCAGCACAAGCGCTGCTAATGGATAGCGAAGAGGTTGCGTGGTGCCGCGAGCGGCGAATCCGTCAACAGAAAGGAAGCGTTGTGCTCCAGCGAAGTGAAGATCGAAGGGCCGACGGGTTGTGAAGTGAAAGTGCCCGTGCCGCAGTCCTGGGGGGCAGCATCGGTGGCAAAGCGCTTCTCAAGGCATCTGGGATTGGCATGGTGGGATTTCAAAGGTGGGCCTTGCCAGGCTAAGCATGAGAGAGTCCAGCCTCATTGAGAATATGCTGCTTGGCTTGGATGGGTGATTGCATTAGGAGACGGCCGTTGTCGTTGAGAGTGTTGCTTTTGGGCAGTTTCGCGTTTCGTGCAGCCTCCAGTTTTACAAATGCAGCTTGCAGCTTGCAGCTTGCAGCCTGTTATCAAGGAACAATTTTTGTGCAACTGCCCCTCTCCAAACAGCAAAACAGCAAGGCGGCATAGGAGAAGGCATTTTCCTGCAGTTGATGTACTTCTGATGTTCTGAACTGATGTGATGTTGAGCAGGCTCATGGATTGAATTTCCGAGTTGAGGCTCGGGAATTTTAGCCTGCGTTGCAACCGCTCTGGGGCATCGCTGTGACTCTGTGACTGCTGCAGTTGCAGCGTCTCAGAAAGAGTATTCTCTCAAGAGTTGCACTGAGTGTGACCAAGGAAGCACGTCTTGGTGGCCTATTCCGTGGAATTCGCAGCTGAGCAAGCGCGAGCTGGTGCCCCAGCCCTTCTGCCATGGAATCGCCTTTCCTGGGTTTCCGCATTTGGCCCGTGGTTGCTGTCCTTCCGCTCAGGATGTGCAGTTTGCCGCAGCCCTTTGGGCTGCCGAGGCATCCACCGGGGCCGGCTCCCCTGGATGCTAGTGATCTCAGCTGCTGATTGCGGTGACTTGAAGGTGGGAAAGGATCCACGCATCAAGTGGACGCCTTTTGCCGAATCACTCAGCGCCTGCGGCCAAGTGTGCACCTTTATGGTATGATTTTGGTTTCCTCGATTGTCTCCAAAGGTGGTTTCATCCTTGCGTTGTTCTTTGAGATTTGGCTGCCATGCCAAAAGTGGCTCAGGCAGTGGTTTACCATTGTGATCCTGAGAGCCAGGACGGCTAGTGGCCTTGCACATGTATGTGCGTAGAGATCTGTACATCTACACATTACATACATATCTACATGTGGGAAATTATAGTTCATTCAAGATCAATCTGACACGACTGCAGGACGTTCGGGTGGCATTCAGCGTTGCTGTGTTTGACCGCAGCATGCTTGACGGGTCTGTGCAAGCCACAGATGATGCGCAGAGGCTGCACAGGCTGTTGCCCGGAGCCAACGTTCTTGTTTGATTCATGACCCTTTTGCATGGGTCAGTTGAGCGGAAATCCCTGGCGGGAGACTTTTGTGCACCCTTGACATGATTGGGCTCCAAGCAAGCTTCGATGCTTAAATTGTGGCCATGTCACCATGTTCGTACCAGATTGGTTGCTGTGCCAGGAATGCAGCTGTTAGTTGTACAGTTGCCGTTGCACTGAAAGTTGAAAAGGCCAATCTGGATCACATAGCCCATGGAACCACTCATTGCCTTGCTCCGATCTCCTCAGTCACATCCCGGGGCACGCAACAACACACACACACAGACACAGACGTATAACTTTTAAACGTTTTCGCGGGCAATATTGCAGTTTGGTGGTTTCTGCAGCTACGCCGCCCAAGTTCCTTGTTTGCAAGCATACGCGGGGCGAACATGCAGACTTTTTGTGAAGTCAATGCCATTTTCAACAAGGATGAGCGGCGGCTCGCTGCTTCGATTATTTCAGCCAGTGCCTTATTGTGGGCATTTGATAGACGTGTACAACATACATTGTGGAAAGCCACATTCCCACCGTGTGCAGCTCGAGGTCGGAGTATTTCGATGCCCACTTGCACATGCACTATCTCTTGCGCATGGAGCAGAGTGGTGTCCAGGATTACTTGGTGCCTCGGTGAAGATGCGTCGAAATGCTTCAAGAGTGCGGTTCAACCATAGCCATTGAACGTCGAAAGTACTCGCTCGGGGTACGCTCCGGTGCAATGAGGTGAATGAGCTTTACAAGATGACCGATGATGATGTAGAGTCTTGACGGCCATGTGTCTCCCGCTCTACGAAGGCTTTGAAGCCTCAACCGCGGTGAGACTTATTTTTGACGTCGCTAAAGACGATTCACGAATGCGGGGTTGCCAACGAACAATTTGGCCTGAGGACTACTACCTGCCTCAGCTGAGCCAGGTGGCATTGCTGCGCTACAACAAGTCATCGCTGCATCGATTCCTGCTGGACAAAGCTTCCAGTCGCAAAAGGACTGAAGGCAAGCTGAGTAGAATAAGGGGTGACGCTTTCACAATTTGCAACCATGATGTTTTGGTATTGGAGTAGCTGCTTCACAGATTCAACTTTGCCTTGTGGCCTAGGCTGCCCAATCAATGCCCTTCGCACTAAAGATCCACTGGCTAGTGCAAGGCATTGTGGAGGAGTCGGAGTCAATTTTACTGCTGTGTTTTTGTTTGGGCAGGCATTCCTCCAGCAACGTGAGCCACAGTATGAAGTGCTGCAGGACAAGACACCAGAGCTTTACGAAAATGCGATGGCCATGCTGAATCTTTGTGAAGCGGCAATGGCGACATGGCAAGGAAAGTCTCAATACTTCTTTAGTCGGCGCGGACTGGCCTGTTGCACAATGTCAAGGTCAACTCGTCGAGTTCTTCTCGAAAGAGGGAAGAAGAGGCAGGCTCTTGGTGTGCATATCGCAGATAGCTGTGCACAAATAATGGGGCTTTGACCCGTGACAGGCGGTTAGCCCTCCACGAGTTCAACGCATTCTGAGGCAGACGCGCACGCGCTTGCATATTCGGACGGCCCTGGGCCAGTCTTCCAACAGTTCACGCTTTGGCAGGTCGAGTTCTGACCCAGACTTGCAGTCCAACCGAGCCCCTCCAGAGGTAGAGGCACAGGTGCTTTTCCAGCTGGGTGGCTTTGACATTTGGCCTTGTGCGTGCCCAAGCCAGGCGCCTGAATCAAGGGGAAACTTGGCTTCGAGTTCCCGGCACAGAAGCAGGAGTGCTTTCGAGTTCCAATCCAGGCTTCCTTGGGCGCAAGCCATTCTTGTAGCTAAGCCAAATGGTGAAAGGACACCAGGTGCCCCGATGCTTTCCCGAGAGCCGCGGCATGAAGAAAGTGCACCTTGCCAGCAGTTGTTCTCGCTCTCCTTGTCGCCTCTCTCCCTCCATCTCGGGCTTGTTTTGATGTGGAGGTGCCTCCCACGCCCACAGATGAAGGTGAAGGGCCAGACCAAGGGGAGGTGCAAGCGCATGACCTGGAACCAATGGTGTCAAATGCTGGGGTCCGTGCTTCCTGCCACGGGCAACAGGCGCGATTCAATCCGCCACCTCGGCAGACTTCTGCCGTGCCATGGGCTGCAAGAGTGCACCCCCGTTTGCTCCACGCATCCCCTGCTCTCCAAACCTTTTGGACCTAGGACAGCTCGTGGGATGGCGAGGGCGCAGACAGTTCACCTGCGGGACTACTCTCCGATGCGCCTTGCCCGCAGCAGAGGCTCCTCCTCGTGCACCTAGGAGTCAATGCACAGTCGCATGGGTACACATGTGGGTCCAAAGATTGATATCCGCGATGCGGGCCTTTGATATTTTTCCTTGTCGCGCACGAATTGCTGGCCGAAGCCACTTGCTGAGGCTGAGGCATTGAGAGCTGCCGCTGCGAGGCACCTTGGAGCACTAGACCCTTGGCAGTCAAATCCGTGCACCTTCGAGGATGTCTGCAAGGCTGATCAACTTCAAGGGACACCTTGCAGATCCAAGGAACAGGCTTCTACTCCAGAGGAGCGCTCTCAGGCCTCATCGTATTGGGTCCTGAGTAAAGTGGGCATACGGTCAAACTGTTTCCCGTGGCATTGTATTTGTCGTAGCCCAGAGACATCGTCTTCCCCAGCTATCTTTACATAGGGATCCTCACTTCCAATAAGTTCCCACAAGGAAGAAAGGCGATTCCCGATCTGGCCAGCACTGTGCTATGGGTGATGGAGCATGGGTCCTGGCGCAGGGTGCTGGGTGACTTAAATGATGCCAGGGTATGTATGCGGGGTCTTTGCTGCTGCAATTTGGGCATTTTGCGTTTGGAGGCTTTCGAGTTGCCCGCAAGCTGTCCAAATGCCACTTGGACGCAGCAGTGTCTTGAGCTATGGCAGGTTGGAAGAGCCAAGAGTGTGCTGAGGCCTTCGTGAGCCTGGGGCTGCCAATAGCCACTGGCCACGAGGAGGAGGAGGGGGAGGACGACCGGGCGCGGGAATGTGCCTTGCCTGCGGTGACTGTCCAGACTCCACATCTGTCTTGTTCAAGGAAGGTCTCTCGAGCCGTTTTCATGCCCAAGCGGACGAACGAGTTAATCTGGCATCCGATGGTCGGTTTGGTTGGCGGATGTGTGCATCCACCTGAAACATATTCGGCTGATCCATCGGGTGGCGCACTGGTTGCTGAGTGCAGTTTAGAACGGGGCCTTTTGAGGCTTGATGAAAAGGCGCAGATGCGAATACTTCACCACGCAGAACCAGTTAGTGTGACTTGACTGAAGCCTGATGCCTTGATTTCACATGTTGAAGCGTAGCACGCTTCTTTCTCCGCAAAGTCATTGGGCTAATTCGCAATCTGGCGATGCAGGTCACTCATCATGGCACTTTCCGCAATTCTCACATCGTTTGCTGACAAGGTGGGTTTCAAGCAGCCCTGCATCCTTGTTGCAGAAGCATGTGCGCGCACGTTTGTAATTATATTGTTTTGCATGAACGATTGACCTTTGTCTACAGAAGTGTCTCCTATTTGGAGCGGGCGAATGGACATATTTGCATAGATACACCTGTGAAAGTTGTCCATGCATGCATCTGCGTGTAAATTAGCAGGTATATCGGTTCACATATGCATTTTTATATGTTTTCTGATTGCGCTTAGTCACTTGTTTGGGCATTTCTTTTCGGATTAGTTTCACACACGCCATTATTCGGTGGCTTAATGATAAACCATTTTAACAGCCCTTGTACTTGGAAGCCGCTCGCAGGCCGAGCGGAAGAACGCGTTGGCTGCAACTTTCGGGGCGGTAAATCGCTGGCTGCTGGACCGTCGGATATGCATGGCGACAAGCAGTGAAGGCGAGGCACTGTGTCAAGCTTGCGTACTGTCCTTGTCTCAGCCTGAGCTGCAGGCCCAATGTTTCTCCTTGGCGCGCATTTGCCGTTTCATGGCCAGAGTCAGCGTGCCTTTCAATTCCCATGGCTTAGAACCAAAACGAATTCTTGAACACCCAGGTTGTGGAGAGATTTGGACAGCTTGCACCAGATTGTCCACGTTCATGTGTCTTGCCTACGGCCAGTGTACTTTCTCTGTGACAGATTTCCGGGAGACAAAGAGTGGGTCAAATGGCTACGGTAGGCGGCTGACTGGACACTTTGAACAGGTGGACTTATGCAAAATCTTCAGCTCAGCGACCCGCGCGCCATTTCTCCTGGCGTATGAATCAGTAAATCTGGATGAGGCCTTCTTGTAGCGTTTGCTTCTTCCATGGTCTGTGCTCAACGGTCCTGGCAGGCAGATGATGAGGCAGCGCGATTGACATTTCTTGATTTGGTCTTTGTTGATGTTTTGTATGCGTGCGGAAGGCATCCAATGCCCACGTGTCCCATCAGACGCTGCTTCATCAGCCACTGCAAGCTGCTCAACGCTTTTTGATGCATCATCAGCTAGCTCCTTGCTTTGACGTCCTTTTGTCAGCAGCAAGGACGGCGGCCGAGCAGCAATCTGTGGCTCAAAGGCAGGATGGTTGGCTGATGTTGTGTGGGCCGTCGACGCTTGCTGACGTGGTGATAGAAATAGCTCGAAATCCCTGGATGCAAGGCTTTCACGATGCTTGCTGACAGAGCTGCATCGTGCCTCAGATCTTCCAGACGACGAAGGCAATTTCTTGGATAAATGATTTCTGCTTTGGCTTCCTGCCTGGTCAGATAGGCTTGACATGCTCGGCGCCAGGTCAGAGAAGCAAGCGCCGCAATGAGGCTGAGGAGCTTCATAACCTCATCAAGCAGGCACTGGGGGCCAAATTCTGAGAATGGACCGGGCGCTCAGCGTTGTGTCAGCAGGTGACGCCAAATCAGTGGCGCCGATTTGCCTGTACAATGCCAAAGGCTCCTGCCAAAGAAGAGCCAGATCTGCAGGATCACGCGAGCCGTTGCCGGAATTCGTTGCTAGATTTTGGCCATTGCTGGCTGCGCGCTTTCTTCGTTGATGTGAAGTTGGTGGGAAGCGCAGTGTGTTCTTTCTAAGCACTGCACTGCCGTTCTTGGTCTGCCATGATAGCCTCGTGGAGAGAGGAGCTGGAGCGCAAGACCATGAGGCCATTAGCCAAAACGCTGGGTCTTTGGACGGAGTGAGCAAAAATGGTTTGTCTAGGGGTGCGGATGGCCAGGGCAGAAGCAAGAAAGCGACGTGAATTGGCGGCAAAAACCAGGCGGGCTTTGGGGTTCGTGGGTTGTCTGCTTGCCTTCAGCCTCAACCTTTTGTATGGCCAGCTTTGCGAGCACTGGTGGCGGCGAGGCACTCCATTTGGGGGGAGCCGTGGCAAGAGAAGGCACTTCAGCTGCACGTCCAGAGGACGCGGGAGGTTTGATAGCCGTTTCCATCACTTTGATCTCGAGGTGGAGCGTGTGCGGGCAGCATCTCCGTACAGCTGCTTCAACTCCTGGCGGCTGACGCTCCTTCCACAACGTGGGTCGTGCAAAAGCGAAGTGGTTTATCGGGCTGCCATTTGTTCAAGGCACGTTTTGTGAAGAGTTAGCACCAAGGAATGCAGTGGTAGTGAAGGGAGGAGATGATCTTCGCCAAGAGTTGCTAGCTTCCCAGATCATTGAGCAGTTCAGCGCGATTTTTCAGGTGCGCCCCCTTGCCTGCATGGGATATGTTTGCGCTCCAGGGCACCAAGGAAGTTTAAATCAACGCAACCAGAGTGTCAGGAAGCCGGCTTGCCGCTCTGGCTGAGAGCTACGAAGGTTGCTTGCTTGGATGGAGGTTGCCAGCTTTAAGGGCTTCTTGCAGCCGCTCTTATCCCAATAGCTGTTGCTCAAGGATCCTTTTCTGCTGCCAAGGTGTTGGTCACCAGCTCATCCAATGGATTTCTGGAGTTTATCCCTGACTCTACATCTGTGGATGATTCTCGGCTTGGGCTTGGTGACGGGGGAGGTTGATTGTTGGGTGCTTGCTTGGAAATGGATGTGGGCCCTTCTGAATGTCAGACTCAGGCAATGAAGAAACTCTTTCCAGGCAAGACCCTGGCGGAGATCTTCAAGGTGGCGTTTGCCGATCAGCTGCGGCTTGGCTCCAGGAATCTGTTGCCCTCACTACGGCTGGCTCAGCCGTTCGCAGTAGAGGTAGAGATAGAAACAGAGAGAGAGAGAGAGAGAGAGAGCGAGAGAGCCAAAATGCAACAAATGAATATGAGGGCTGGTGGAGTCTGACAGCCGTGCGTGAAGCCACAGCGCGGGAAGGAAACTTGGCAACGACTGCCATCGATCGAGGTTTGATGCCAAGAAGAACTTCATCGAAAGCTCTGCAGCGTATTCCCTTGTTGTTTACTTTCTGCAGGCCAGGGCTGCTGCAGGGTTGCTGTCTGTCGTCTCAGAGTCTGGGATTCATGCAGCCCGTTATAGGTTAAAGATCGCCACAATGGCAACTTGATGCTCCTTACTAGCGGGCATGTCGTCCATATTGACTTTGGGTTACTTGGCGGGTTAGTTTGCAGAGAATGAATGATTTCAAGCGGCTGGGCTTGCAGCTCAGGTTTATGCTGTCAAACTCTCCCGGTGGCAACATGGCATTCGAGAATTCGCCCTTCAAGCTGACGCAGGCACTGGGTTTGGCGGGCAGCGATTGCGTGAGAGGTTTTGCAATATCCACTGCCTGCCAAGGGGTGGTGCTTGTTTTTTTGGCGCATGCCCACTTTAAGTTTGCACATGATCAAGGGAGCTCAAATGGAGGAAATCCTGGATGTCATGGACGGCGAGTGCTCTGAGCAGTACGAATATTTTCGCACCTTGGCTGTCCTTTTGGCTAGTGCGCTGGTCTGGGGGATTTTGGGGCTTATTGCTAGCGGAACGCCTTGACACGGTGCTCCTGAGGGACGTTGCTCATCCGGGGCTTTCTGGAAGCACGCAAGCACATGGACCGAATCGTCTTACAGGCGCCCTGGCATGAGGGGCTGGTAAGTTGGACCTGGAGGGCGGGCATGTCGATACGCCACTAGCCTTTGGCCGCGGCCAAAGTTGGTCGGGGTTGCGCAGTCCGGCCAGCTCAGAATTTGGCCATAGGGACCACGCTGCAGGTGCGTATGATGCTTACGGGCTCCAAGATGCCATGCTTTCGAGAAGGAGCAGACTTTGTGCTGTCCACTCTGCAAGACAGGCAAGGTATAGGGTATTGCCGGTATTGCTCATTTTCTGCAGCTTCTTGTAAACTAGAAGATGGGTATCTCCCTGGAGGTTCTTCTGCAACCTGACAGAAGAAGCATGCCATTTGGCTGCAAACGGAAAGCTAGGCTAGCCTTCTGTGCTGGGCTCAACAAATCCTTTGCCTTGTCATTTTGTCAGGTATTGAGAGAGTTGTCGAGCTCATTGACACGTCGGTCAACAATTGGCGGACAATTCAATACGATGCTTGCTCGCAGTGCTTGAAGCCGTCACGGAGCTTTTTAAGTTGAAGGTTTTATGCCCGCATGGGTTGCCAAGGACAACTACCAGCGCATTGTGAACGGGATTCTTTAGAGCTCTTTGCAGCCCAAAGTTGCTGCTTACACCCGTCTCCCCAGGATAGACTTAGTGCCCAGGGATGTGTATTGAAGCATTCGCTTGCAGCAAAACCAGGCAGAATTGCACATTAATTAACAAAAATTATAGCTGTTACGATGGGAACGTGCAAAGTTAGTGATGCCTCGATTCAAGGTGATGATGTCCTCGCTTCTGCAGATGGTGCTGGGTGGCGAGTTCACATCTGAGAGAGCAACAGTGGCCGCGCATGCATGAAGTTTAGCCTTCGTACACTCAGGGTGCCCGAGATTGCTTCCTGTGAAGTGCGCGACGTGAGGGCCCTGACTTGAGGCATCAGTTTGCTTTTATCTTTTGGCAAAGAGCCAGTATGCGTCCCGGGCCATTCAAATCGCAGAGATTTAAGAGTCGGGTCAGCGCTTGCTGACTGAGTGCTTCTCTGGCATGCTTAGATCTTCTTCCCCATGGGCTTTCTGCGGCTTTTCGATGGTGCTAGCCTCTCACTTTTTGTGTTCAGACTAATAGCGAACTATCAGTTCTTTTGGACGAACAGCCGCGAGTGAATATACCCGAAGCTGATCAGGTCCAGCCGTAAACAGTGAAGACCTTTGGCGTTTGCTGTCTACTCCAAGGCCTGGCACTCAAGCTCCTGGCATGCCCTCCTAAAAGTGCGAGAAGATTGCAGAATTTGTAGCTTGCCTTAGCAGGCAAGGTGCGGGCATGCTCCTCGGTGCGGTGGTAAGGCCGAGGAGAGTCATTGAGGTTTGTTCGCGTTTGATTGCGGTACTGCAACTAGCTGTTGAGTCAGTTGTCAGAGAGAGAGAGAGAGAGAGCGAGTGAGAGAGAGAGAGAGAGAGAGGAGAGAGAGGAGAGAGAGGAGAGGGAGAAACCTTGCAAGCCTTGCTATGGTTTGGCTCAGCAATCCGTACTCCCTTGATCTCCGATATAGTACTACATGCCCGACTAATGGCCACAAGTGGCGGCGGAAGGCTCGGTTTTGATTCCCAGCTGACAGAGAAGGACTAACATAATCGGTTTGCAGCCAGGCCGCATGTTGAGGGCGCTTCTTCGCTGGGCGAGGACGCGTTGGCAGCATTCCGTCCTTCAGCACATGGGATACAGGGCTTGGACAGAGCTTTGCGTCTTTTTCACGCATGGGTTTCAGCCCGAAGCCTTGCAGTGCGACAGGATGAGACGTCAGCATCCCAGGAAAGAAGTGTTAGATTTTGGATGCAGGAGACAGGCATTTTTAGAGACTCAAACCAGGAGACGAGGTGGTGTAATTGTATTACTCCGTACTGTTTGGCTGCTGCATTCAAGGGCTCACCTCCTGGACAAGGAGACCCCCAGGCTTGCCATGGTCAGTGTTGTGTGGAAAGAGGTCCTGGAACACGATCCATGTGTGGCTAGTCTCGCCAGTCATGTCAGTTCCAGCTTCTGGCAACGCCACCGCTGCGAGCTGATTGCAGCAGCAGCCGTCATTCTTTTGGGCGCCGGGGCCATGGGAGACGGCTCTGCGTCTTTGCCAGTGGCTTTCATGGCTCCGGCTGGCCAGCGACTAACGCTCAGCCCCTGCCTTGAGGCGGCTTTCATGGTGCACAGGAGCTCCGGGAGGCAGTGCCCGCATGCAGTTTTGCGCACTGGGCACCTATGCACTTGGCAATTGAAGGTCCACCTACCTCGTGCAAGAGAAGCCGCAGTCAGACCGCCGCACATACCAGTGTTGAGCTCGGAGAGTAGTGATCGCATGACACTCCCTGTGCTCGGGACATGGCCTGACACGAACACATTCGGTTTTTACAGCGTTTGAATTACTCAGCATCATAGTCTCAGCCTGAGCTGAGGTACTCCGTGCTTCCGAACGGGCTGCCGCTCCTGAACATCCAGGTGGACATGCCGAATGTGACATATCCAACAATGGGCTGATCCAGTTTTTTGATTGCTGCTGGTTTTGCTTTGTAGTGGTGCTCAGTTAGTCAGTCAGCAGAGAGAGGGAGAGCAAGAGCGAGAGAGCGAGAGAGCGAGAGAGCGAGAGAGCGAGAGAAGGAGAGACAGAGAGAGAGGGAGAGAGCGAGCCAAAATAGAACATCAGCAAGGACTCCCATACTCAAGAGTCCATTTGGGCATTCCTCTGAATCAGTCATCCTCCCAAAAAAGCAAGACAGAGGCGGTCATCTTCCTCCAAACACCTCCTCTAGATCCTCCATGTTGCAGGATGCAGAGAGCCACAAGATGGCAATGGCCATGGCAGGGGGCCCCAGGCAAAGAGAATAGTTTAAGTTTTTTTTCTTCTACATATATATGTATATATCTGCATATCTGGCATTCCTGCATGGGAGATTTCTGACTGATGATCCCGTATCGCAGTGCTGAAGTCCAGACGAAAAACAAGCATTTGAAGACAGAGAAAGATCCATCGTGGGTTGGTCAAGCTTTTGGTATCGCATCAAGTTGGTGGCTCCATTGCGTGCGCATGGCTTGAGGCAGTCCGAGCCGGCAGCTACGATGATCCCCACGAGCTACCAGGCATGCCCAGCTTGTCCATTTGAATTCCAAAGACCAGACAAAATGAGCTTGCATTTTAAAGGTCGTTCAGTGAGCATTGCAGGATGACATGTCCGGGGTCCCTTGCAACACCTTCCGAAACCAGGGAAAAGACCTCGGGCCTGCCGCAAAAAGTCAAGCTGTGTGCTCCGATGCAATCTCGTTTTACGGAAGAACGGCAGTGGAGGAGCAGAAACAACAACACCAAGCAATAGTGTGACAGCCAACCAGGACAAGAACATAACATCGCAAAAGCTGCTGCAGCTAGGAAATCGGTTACTCGTCGTGCTACTGCTTTTACTTTTGCCGATTCTACCTTTGCTGCCGATTCCGCTGTAGTCCGTGTTGCCACTGCTATTGCTGTTGCTGCTGTTGCTTCTGCTGCTGCTGCGGTGGCCGCTGCTGCCTCTGCTGCTACTGCATTGTGTTTAACCTATGAAGGGCCAGCGCCTTAGCTGTGCATGTCTTAGCGAACCCTGTCTGATCAAACTGAGACTAAACGGTCAAGCCACGTGGCGCCTTCATCTGCCATTTGAAATGTTTGCACAAGTCAAATCAGTTTTTTCACCGCCGCGCTTTGAATGTTCATGCCTGCGATTTTTGCAACATACATTGGAGCTGATGGAAATGCTTACAGAGTGTGAGCCTTTTGAGCCAGGCCTCGCTCACTTCTGCGAGCACATGCTTTTTCTGGGCACCACCAAGTACCCAGAGCCCAGCGCAGCTTGGCATTTCGAAGGCTGCGGTATCATTTTGCCATTGACAGATTTTGGAATCCTTGTTGGGGTGGTTATGGTTTGAAGCGAAGAGAAAGCCACTGTATTCATATCTCAGGGCTTTGACAACTTCTTGACGAAGTGCGCCACAGTGGGACCACAAGCGCTGTTGGGTGCTTGTTTGAAAAGGTACGGAGGGGCCTCCAATGCATATACGGCTTCGGAGGCGCGCATGACTGAAAGCCAAGCAGGTAGGAAGCAGTCAGTTCGTCAGTTCATCCAGGTCACCGTCTACTTCGCATCTGCTGGTGCTGATGCAGCGCCAGAGGCTTGTTCGCTTGCTTGCATGGGGGATCGTTGGCATAGCATGCCACAGACTGCCTCACGGGGACTTGACGGTGCAGAGAAACGTACTTTTGGAGACACGATTGGAGTGTTTGGCATTTGGGAGCTGCTGCAAGTGAGCACTTTCCGGTTGAGAGAAACAAGCGCATCCGTCCCGGTGCCCTTTCCCATGTTGCGATTCATTTCGTCTCAGCTCAAACATGACCTGCGCAGAAGGACAAACGATTCACCTGGTTGCCGCAGAGGTGCCTTGTCGCAACATGGCCAGGCGGCTCTTAAAGTCTTAACTCTCACCCAACTTCACCCAACTTCACCAAGCCCAGTGAGAGGCTGCGCGATTTCATGATCCTAACAGGAGCCGCAATTAGATTACTCAATGCCAGGCAACACAAAGCCAGTGCCGATGCTGTAGTAGACAGTTCGGCCATGGACAGCGATTTGTCCGAGCGCCTTCTGGACACATCACCATCCAGAAGAAGTGAAAAGGCCAGCTGCTGAGCCGGGAACATGGCGTGTTCAGATCTGGAATTTCTTTGCAAGGCACATTCAGTGGGGTTGGGATCTTATCAGCCCCGCGAGGCACGAAGATTCCAGTCCTTGGGACTGCTTTGCTACAAGGGCTGCCTAAGGCGGTTTCCTTTGCTTTGGTTGAAACTTGGGCCGCATTTTCTGTGTGTTTGTGTGTGTGTACGGTTGTGCAAGTAGTTTTTGCGCCCCTGACCACAGCTAATGCAAGGAAATCACGGACGTCAAGAACGGTTGTCATAGCACCTCGGCAGCCATGACAATGCAAATCGTAGTTTGCACGCCTTGCCTCGGCAGCAACAGATTGAGCTTTCCAAGGAGCCGGATCCGGAACCAGAGGTTTCTGCATATGAGGACGACGAAGTTGAAGACTACGAAGTCTACGAAGATTTGGAATCCAATTTGTTGAACATTGGCCAGGGCCTCGATCACCCTTGCCAATCTGCCTCGTTCAGCATGTCCCAAAACAACAAGCGGCTATGCGGCTGAAGCGCACCGTTAAAGGCCACGATGCGCAGCGTGCAGGCGACGACGAGGACGTGCATCCCACCGCAATTGCATGGTAGCCGTGTAGGTATAATGCTACTTGATATTCATACACATGATCGTGAAGAGAGGCAACTCATGGTGTTGCGCTCGAGAGCTCACAGATGTTACAGGAAGCATTCTTTGACGCGCGGAGTGAGACATCTGACGACAAAGTTTGCAACAAGCAGGTAGAGGCTGGAGACCATGCCTTGGGGGTTTGCAGATGCACGGGCAAGCCTCTGGTGTGAGCTCCTTAAATTTGGAGTCCGCAACCCGCGGATGCAGCAGGTGGAGAAGCAAAAGCTCCTTGCTAGCACGGATGACTGAGGGCGCTGGTCCCGGCATCATTAATCTGGTTTCCCCTTTGCAAATCTGAGCAGGCGTCGCATGGCGTGCTTGACCAAATCCAATCAGCCTGGGTTTGTGAGCTGCACACGATGTTTTGGCAAGTGACGGCAAAGTTAGTTGCATAGCTGTTCAACTTGTAAGGAGCGGGCTATCGCACCGGTCGCTTCAAGTATCTCAGAGGCTCGCTTTCCAGCGCCAGTCACAGCTTTGAAGGGTCACAGCTGTAGCCTTTCGAAGGCTGGAGGCAATTCTGAGCATCGCAAAGTTGTGTGGCTCTGGGGCGACTTGCGGCACGGCTATTGGGACGGCCGGCAGTCCTCTGCGAATCGAGGCTAGGGTCGTGAATTCAGTGTGCATTTGCACTACGTGCTACATGTGTCTGTGGGGTTGTGCCATGGATGGTCAGCTGGGTTCGACGCTGGCTTGTGCCTGCGCAGATGGAGCAGCTACTCGACTCACCACAGGCTGGACTTTGGATTTGCCACGTGGAGAGCAGTCTGGTGGACGTTGGCTGCTCTTTCTGCGTTGTGGATGGTCTCACGGTTGAGGAAGTGGTGGAAGCTTTGCCTTTCACCTGCACGATGAGAGAGAGAGAGAGAGCGAGAGAGAGGGGGATGAATGCAAGAGAGTATTTGCGTGTTGGCTTCGTGCTTTAAGCTTGGAGGCATTGCTTGGCCAATGCAATCCGTTGAAAACTCAGCTTTGTCCATATTGATGGCAGAGCAAAACCAGCCAGCACAGCAAACAAAACACGTCAATCCACCTTGCAACAGCCGAGGGAGAGAAAGAGATAGAGAGCGAGAGAGAGACGAGGGAGACCGAGAGAGAGAGAGAGAGAAAGAGAGAGCGAGATAGCGAGAGACCTTGAGCACGCCAAGCGCACAATGCAGGCATTATCGATTGCGTCTTTTATTGACATGTATTTTCGCGTGGAGCCATATGTCCTCTCAGGGGCAGATACTTTTGATCAGACTGGTTGCATCCTAGCACTGGCCCCTCTGGAGTACATGATGTCACGTTTTTTGTTTGTTTGGTATTTCTTGTTTCTACGTGCCTGTTGCAGTCTGAAAGGGGGGCAGAGACATTCTCAGGCACAATCCACAAGAGCGCCTCGGCTGGGACAGTGCGTCCTTCAAGAAGTTCGAAATCGTATCTGGCCCTCAGCCGGGAGATCCTTTGCAGCAGGCCGGCGGGATATGTCAAGGAATATGTTTGTTCGAACCTGAGTCGTGTGGATTGTGGGGTGTCATTCCAACAGTCGCCAGGATGTCATCTACTGCACAATGCCAGCGCCCGGCATGATTACGGAGCGAGATGTTTTGCAACAGCGTTGGAAGGCGTGGGTTGCTCTTCATATTTTGCTGCGCCATTGCGAATGATGCAGCCACAAGCTTCTGGATTCAAACCGGACTTGTGTTGTTGCTTTTTCTCCGTGACATGATTTGCAGGTGCCGATGGGAGATGGTGGTCACGCCATTTTGATGCAATCCATGGCGGACAATAGCTCGTGCCTGGGGCAAAGCAGTTTTTTTTGGCATGAGCTGACTTGTTGCCAATGCGTTTGTGCAGCCTGCATGCTGGATGGTGCTGAGGCGGCCTGTTACATCACGTCACATCCGGGCATTCACATTTTTCTCTGGCTACATCGTGAGCCCAGATTCTGCTGGCAGTGTCCTGCTTGGCACTTCAGGAGCACGAGCAACACAGAGTACGCTCAGGCTGACGTAAAGAGAGGCCAACCATGGAATGAGGAGGGTGTGTGCGAGTTGTCGTTTTGTTTGCAACCAGTGACGCTGAGGCATTCGCATCACGGCAGTGTCTCAGACGGATTTGGGCGGATCATTGCCGAGCTGGGTCCAGTCTCAGGGCCGTCGCCTAGCCAAAGGCAAGCTCGCCCCTTGGGCAAAGACGCTTGGCTGGAGCCTGCAGGGTGTTTCAGTGACCGGGCACGGAATGTCTAGAACTTTCATCCGATAAGCCATATCCGTGTTGGCAAAACAACTCGTTGGCGGCTAGCATTCTGCGCGGCAGTTGCTGTTAGCTACCCTCATGCAACACCAACACCGCAAGCACGGATTTTTTCTCAACTAGCTTTTCTTCTCAATCCAGCACGACAGTCGTTGTGCCAAGCCTCGGTTTGGACACGTCAGGAAGCTGGAGACCCACTGCAAAGCTCGCCGTGCAAGGAGAGTATCCTGAAGCTGTGGACGTTCGTGAGGTGCGACTCAAAGTCCTGTCTCCGGAGGTGATGGGACACCGAAGGCAACAATGTTTTTTCTTTCTTTGCGCAAGGAAGCCGTGCAAAATACTGGGTCCAGTCTAGTTTGTGTGTTGACTCTCAGAGACTCCGAGTATGATGGAGACACCTTTGCCTTCAGTTTCTTTTGTAAAGTATCGTCGCGTCTGAAGATGCGCAAACATGTCCTGGCGGCAAGACCGGATCGAGCCGCAAGCAGCAGCCAGTCTTGGGATTGAATTCCCTGCTGCCATATTTACAGATTTTGATAAGACGCCAAGGCAGGCTTTGATGGAGCCTTCAGCTCTGGCTTAGGCCTCCCGTTTTCCGTCGTGCGGTGCTGACTGCAAGTCTTGTGGCCACGCGAAGCCGTTTCATGACGTGCACGTGCAACTTCAGATTCGCATCGAACCGTTTTTGCCAGCCTGGCCAAGTGCAAATACATACCTGAAATGACAAGGCCTCAGCGGTTGATAGCTGGCTACTGGCGTCCCAGAAAAGAATGACATGCTCAAGGGAGAACTTGGGGCCGCTACAGTCAAAGCGTGCCATATTGAACGAGTGCAATTGATTGCATACCTTCCATCAATCAGTGTCCCAGAGAAGCTCAAGGATCCCAAAGCTGTCACTTGGTAGTTCCTGCTTGGTTTGGGTGCACACAGCCTTAGGAGTTTGCACATGGCAAAGCTGAAGGCAGCAGCAGGACGGATGAGATTTGCTGCTGTCACAGCGTTGTAAGCAGCCTCATCCAAGAAGAGCAAGGCCAAGCCACACCACACTGCTCCTTGCCAATTCCCTTGCAGTTCTGAAGAGACCAAAACAACATGATACGTATGGGTCACGGGTTTGGTCATGCTTTTCCTGCGCGCGGCAGTCTCACACGATCCCTGACGGGTTCAATTTTGCAATCCAGACATCCAGCAGTCGATCTTGCATTTGCTGGGCGCTGCCAGCCAAACCGGCAGGTCACTGTTGGCATAGCCTTGCTGAGCGCATCATTTGTGCAGCATGCCAGCGCTCCACCAGCAAGATAGCAGACTTTTGCATGTGTGGCGTTTTGTTTCCGCCGATCAATCCAGGCCATGTCAGGCGCAAATCCCTTTTGCGCCGGCAGTCGGCGTGCGAGCGCGGTGGAGAAAGTTACAAGTTGCTACTCGCATCCCTCTGATGGCATTGTGCTGCAGCTGTTGCGGTGATGTGCTGCCCATGTCATGTCAGGGCTTGGATCGCTTTGCCGACTTCTTTCGAGCACCGCTCTTCAAGAAGGAGAGGGCTGTCTTGTCGTCGGATGCTGGGTTTGAGGCACACCTGTGCAAGCCAAATCTTTGTTGGGGCAGTGCATTTTGTTGCACGAAGGTTTTTGGTTCAAACCAGATGGACAGCAATGAAAGCATTCGACAGGCGTTTTCTCCAAACGCGTATCAATCCAATATGAGGGATTGGGCATACATTTTAGTCATTCTGGGCTGGGAGGCCCGGTTTGCTTGAAAAGTGGCCATGGCGGGGTCAAATGACCAGCGCGCTCTTGCGGTGCGCCGCTGCATCTCCGACATTGAGGTTGCTGTCGCTGGGCATTTGGATTGTATGCGGCTTTCGCCTTGATAGGCGGCAAGCGCCCCCGGCTTAGGACTTTGTTGCCCTTGACCTGGAGTTTTCTGGGCTCTTCCTGGAAACGAAGCGGGATGGGGCAATGAAATCGGACGCCTACTTCACCAAGTGTGCTGAGAGTGCCTGGGCTTGAAATGGTTGCCTTATGTTGCCATTTGCCAAAAGACAGCGAGTCTATGGTTGTTTCTGTGTGGTTTTCCTCAGACAGAGAGAGAGAAGCAACAAACACAGCACAGCACAACTCACAAAACAGTAGGAGACCGCCAATTTGTTCATTGCCCGCGGACTGGAGCAAGGGGTCGGCGGCGTGCCAACAACCCCAGGTGTTCCCAAGTTCATGGCTTTGCAGCTGGGGCTGTGTTGCGCACGCCTGCAGAAGGAGAAGGACCAGACTTGGGAATTTCGACGCTTGGACGGCATGTGCCCGTTCTTTGCGCCCGCTTTGGCTTCAGCCGAAACGCCTCGTTTCCAAGAGCTGAGAGGTTGTTTTTCGTTTCTTCTTCTTTCTTGCATGTTTATTCAAAGGTACGCACCAGTTTGATCTTTGGCCACAAGCTCAGCGAATATTCTCAGTTGACCTTCAGTCGTTGAAGTTCCTGCGTTCGCATGGGTTTGACACTCGGTGGCATTGGCTGCACCTGTTACTGATCCAAATGCGCAGCTTGGCAGTGAGCCATGCGCCTTGGGCCTGAGGACTTCAATGAGTTTCTGGAAAAAGCGCATCCCTACAAGAGGCTGGCTGTGATTGAACGGCAAAAATGTGGGGACTTACTAACGAGGCTTCATTTTGCGGTCGCCTTTTTATTTGCTGTATGCAACCCCTATTCTTAAAGTTGTTTTGTGAATTAATTCTTCTTGCCTGTTGAGTGGGGCGCACTTTCGAATTAGGGGATGCTTGATTTTCCCATTTGGCATGGAGCGAAATCATTTTTTTACCTTTCTCTTCAGCTCAGCTTCGCTCTTAGAGTCGCAGCACTTTCAAGATTGAAGTGCCCTTGTGGTGCCTTTCGGGTCGAGTCCAGGCTGAAGCCCGACGGCAAATTGGAGCAAGATACCCCGAATGCAAATGCGGTGCTGCATGCGCTGCGCACAGCCAAGCCGCCGCTGGTGGTCCACAACGGCCTGCCACCTGGCTCAGGTTCTCAGCAAGCGCAAGCGGCCAAATGGCGTGTGTGCGGAATAATCATGGAATGAACGTAACCCAGTTGGAAGCGTGATGCAATGCAAGATATGACAAAGGAGAGACCTCGTTTTCGACCACGTCTCAAAATCTGATGTGCCAGTTTTGAACAGATGATATGTTGGGAATGTGGCTCTAGGTTGGACGTCCTTCATCTGTACGACAAGTTCATAGCAGATTTGCCTGGTGACTTTAGCGAATTCGGGCAAGTGCCTCGGCAAGAGCAGACTCACAGTCTTTCTGACCTGAATTTGTAATATTTGGCAATGAAGTCTGCTGAGCATGCATTGTAGCAAGTAGCTCCGGAATGCAAGCAGGGACCTGTGTGCGTTCGAATCTGGGGAATGTTCATACATTTTTCCGCTTAGTCGTTTTTGCCGGGAGAACTGAGCGTTCTTGCACAAGGCTTGGCTGGAGCAGTTCCCGCTGCTGTTTGACACAAGATTTCTTGCACAAGAGGGCCGCCTCCAAGTGCTGAAGCACACTGGCGGCTTGAGTTTGGATGTCCTGCACAAGCACATGCGTGGGCAAACGGATTACTTGAAGCTGCAGCGATTCAGTGAGAACCCAGAAGGGTCCATGCACTCCGCGGGCTTCGACGCCACGGTCACAGCCGAATTGTTCGTCATGGAGGTCGACAAGTGGATTCGCTTTGATGAGCGGAAAGGAAGTGAACCGAACACCCAGAAGACTTCCTGCGAAGCAAACGATGAGAAAGCCGGAAAGACCAACGAGGACCGCCTTTAAATCGCAGATAGGTGTGACGATACATGTTGTAAGTAGCGGTCTTGTTGTGTGCTGTGAAGTTGCATCTCGGACTTGGCCAGGATGATGGTGAGGAGTTCATTCTTGTTGGGAGTGGACGCAAGCGAAAGAGAAAACCAAAAAGCACCGGCTTTATTTGTCCCAGCTGCTGGGCAGAGTGCTTGATGTCAAGGTTTGCTGCATGGAATTTGCATGTGCAACGGGAGACGTGAACTCCCCCTGTTCAGGTTTCCTGGAAAGCCACAAGGCCTTGCGCAGGTTCCACAACAAGATTGCCCTGGTGAACACGGTCCCAGGGTTCTTCGTCCTAGGAGGCCCCAAGGAAATGCCGGAAGAGGCAGAGGCGGAGCAAGTCGAAAAAGCTGGTGCCCCGAGCGCGCTTCCAATATTGGGTCTTCAGTATGGGGTTGCTTACCTTGGCATCTTCTCTGTTTCAGGAGTTTGTCAAAAAGGAAGTCCAAGCCATCAACAGCAGCAGACTCAGTCAAGCTGTTAAATACGGAGCCCCAACGCTGTCAGAGACAGGCGAGCATGAGAAGAACGTACAGAGCAACCTACGGCGGATCTTCGAACTTCTCGAGTCGCAGGCCGGTTCTTGCAACTTTGCGGCCATGGGGCAAACGGACATTAGTCAGCTGGAAGCTGAGCCTGCTCGCGAAGCCCCGACAGGCCAACCCGGATTCGGTTGTGGGCAGGTTCGCCACTGGCAACGTGACGGCCTTGTTGGAAGTAGTTTTGGAATATGGCAGCATACTGGCGAGCCTGTTCCGTGCTGAGATGGAGACCCTGTATAGCGCTCCCACGCGCCAGCGGCCTAGTAATTCTGCCTGTGAGGGGAGGGTCGGTTTGGGAAGGAATGTGTGTTGCTTTGCTTTCTGTAGTTGCCCTTAGGGAATGGTACTTCGCCAGTGGATGCGCTCAAGTCGAGATCTTGGTCGCAATATGCAGCTCATTTTCAGCTCTATCTCAGTATTGGCATGCGAGGGGCTACTTCAAGCAGCACTACTGCCCAGAGCAGATGCGCCTAGTGTTGGCCACTCAGACCATGAAATCAGGGTCCGTAATTCGCTGGCTAGACCTGATGAACTTCCTGAAGCACAGCTTTCAGAAAGCCTCTGCACGGTCATCAGGACGTTTGGCCCACAGCCATTAGCAGAGCAGATGAAGCTCGTCACGAAGGCAGGGGCTGTTGTTCGTGGATTGCACCCTAAGCTTGTGGTGCTGAGTGGACCCCCATGAGGTCCAATGTCAGGCCAATCTTCCTGAAGTTGCGAGGTTTTCGCTGTGCCCGGTGCAGGCCGGCTTTGGAGAGTTGGATCCAGGGGTGTGGCGCTCAGCCCGGATCTGGCAACGCGTGCCGCATGTTTTGGAGAGCACAAGGGAAAGAAGGCGATATGCCAAAATGCGGGAAAACCTGCAAATGGTTGCGTTTCCTTTTTGCCACCTTTCAACCAAACTCCGGAAATCCCAAGACATATTCACATCAACATGGGGGTGGAAAGGGGGCGAGCCGTTGGCCCTAGCATCTTCCTTGCCACGTCTTTTTAGAGGCTGCTTCATGCGCTCAAGACAAGCGGAGCCAGGGCCTCAAGTCACCAGCGGCATCCTGCGCCGTAGCCGTGGCGATTTCTCATCCTTTGGGTAACCTGATGGCTCAGGATTTCCCGAGCCGCAGCCATTCCCTCGCTCCTTCATGGGCCCTGGGCTGAGATCCAATGCAAACTTTAGCGCATTTGCAGGTGCGCTTTGATAAAAGTTGCAGCGGGCTTGATGACTTCCATTGCCGAGGCAAGCACTTGCTGGTGGAAGGCGAGCAATGCGTTTGGCCAGGAGAATGCAAGAGCGACGTGGGTGATTTGTGTTTCCGAAAGGCTCAACCGGCTCAATAAATGGCAATTGTATGGGAATCAGCGGTCTAGATTGTCACTGTGCAGTTTGCGGGCGCCCTTGGTGAGAAAGCTGCGCAGAAGGGTTTCAAGGTCCTAGGAAAACAACGGACGTGGCCTGGCCAGGTTCAAGGGCTTTTGTGCTTTTTGCTGGATTGCTTGGGCTTGGACGGTGCTAAGCACCAGGCACGGAGGCCACAGGCGCGCTGTGGCTGCACTTCCAGCTGCCAAGCCTGAGCAGGCAGAAAGAGAGCGTCAGCTGGGAGCTTCCATGTTTCTTTGGTTTCAGAGTTGCAGGGAGCATGCGGCCCAGCCGCTGACCTACCTGAATTATGTCATCGATTATGGAGGCCAGGAGCCCGAGCGTACCTAGCTTTCAGCCCATGGTTCAGCACCCAGGTGAGAATTCCCTGAAGAGGGTCTTGAGCGATTCCCTGGGACTTGTCTCCAATGTGCAGCTGGAGGCTGGGCACTGTCAAGCAAACGGTTTCATTTTCAGGAGAGAATGGTGGTCTTCATGAGTTTGTTTCGAATTCCAGGCTTGTGGAGTGGTAGAAATCCTCGCCGTGGCGAGGAGCAGACAGACTCGACTGGCACGATGTTTATGGTGGTTGCCTGGCACGGTTTGGCAGGCAAAGTGCTGTGCTTACTCAGAGGCTATTTCGCCGCTTAGGTTTTCTCCACTACCGAGCTTGGCTTCAACCACTCCCAGGTTGAAAAGTCGCAGGTTTCCGGCCCTGGCCACTGCCTTGCCAAGGCAATCTTGGATGTCTTCTTCAGTTATTTGGCTGGACTATCAGCGGGGGCCGATATGAATTTGTACAAGAGTATTCAGGCTGGGGCGTCCAGCTCCGTTTACGTTGCCGTGGTGCAGTTGTGCAGGACATGGTGAAATTGCAGTGGGATTGGAAGCAACAAGATGATGCCTTCGGGACGTTGCGCTGCGGGTTTCAGAATGATTCTTGCGACATCATGTGGCAATAGCAGCTTGCTCATTCCTTGGCACTAGGACTGTGTCGAACCTGGCAGAGGTTGGGATTCAATATATTTCAAGTGAGTCTTTCCGCCTGTGCCAATCGCTTGTGATTATGTGCATGCCAGGGTTGGGCTGTGCCTTGATCACTTCTTTGGAGGTCATGACTCGCCTGCCCCATGAGAAGCTTTTGTCAGGCAAGGGTAGACTCGGTTAGACCAGACCCCATTGCATTCCATAGCCCAGCACCAGGCGATAGCTTGATCGAGAAGCCGGACTGACGATTGCGCCTGGAAGCTTCGCGTGTTGAGCAAGAACTTCGTCTTGCAGGATGCGCAGCTGATGTCCTCCTTAATTCAGCTTGTTGAGACCCCCTCTTAGTTTACTGTCTAGTTTTCCCGTCTCCCTGGCGTTGTCTACCCAGGCCAGGCAACATGAATATCGCTGCGGTGGCTCCTTCTGCACTTGGCCGCATGCTCGGAAGGGTCACTTGGGTTCGTTTTCACGGACTTTCCTAGTTTCCTTAATTTTTTTGGGGACCTTTTTGGTCAAATGAGCACGGCGCATCCACGAGAATGCGGAAGCAAATAATTTGGCAGGGGAAGAGCCGCTGAAAGCCACCAAGAAACCCATCAGGACCCACCGCTGTCGGGAGTGCTTTGTGCTTTGTGCCAGCTTTGCACATGCTGAAAGGACCTTGCAGTATTATGGAGCGCAAATCTCAGTTGGGCAATTGACACGACAGAACCACGCATTTCTTGTCCAGTCTGTCTTTACACTTATGGGCCTATGGGCATTAGGCCAAGTACGTGGAACAGACCATGGACGAGGCGGATAAACTCATGCAACATTGGCACACCTGGGATCCGCAAAATGTGATACAGTGGTTTTGTTTGTGTCGCGTCCCCGAGAGGTTTTGCCAGGCGCCTCCAAGCGTTGGAGTACTTGGCTTCAAGGCGATTCGGCAACACATGCAGCCAACAACGAATGTTGTGGGGGGGGGGCAGGGCGACCCATAAATGTTTTGTGCGCAGCTGCCCCGCAGGCATGGACAAACCACAGCTGGCCCAGCAACTCCGGGAGCGATTGAACGCTTCGCCCTCATGGTGTTGGGTTTCGAATCCAAATTCAATGTCCTATCATTTTTTTAAAGGTGCCAATAGATGTCCGTATAGTACTGTTTTGACGAGTGGATGTGCGGTTGGGAATTTTCACCTTTTGAATTCCGCTAACATTTGTTGATCTATTTGTGCAATCAACCAATTCCGCAGGTTTTAGTGCTCAAGCACCGCCCATTTCACAGGCACCCCATTTAGTGGTGCCACATATTTTTTCACAGAAGCTTTCCTTTAGCCCCGAGGACAGTGGGACGTTTCTTGGCATGGCCAAATGCACAGGTGATGCAGTTGATTGAATCGAACATTTGCAACCTGCTTTGGAGGATGGCTTCGAAAAAGAGCGGTGCAACAGTCAGCACAGCAATTGGCTTGGCAGGCTGGGCCTCTAAATATTTTGTTTTGCGTGATGAAACATGTGATTTTGTAAGGAGCGGTGGCCGGAACTGCCTTCATCGCCGGCGCAGGCAGTGCTTTAGTTGTTTGTTGTGGCAACATCGTTCCATAGGTGCCAAGTGAAAGATCTCAAGGAATTGTGCAACCCCATTTGGTCAAACGAGGGTTGGTTGTTGGTTGTGCTGCCTTTGCGCCGTATCAAGTTTGCACTTGCGCCAGGAACCCAGACGAAGTCAAGGGCATTGCGCGCCACCGCGGTCCAGCCTCACCAGGCTTCTGGAAGTTTGAATTCCGTGGGCGTGTTCTCAATTTTGACATCCAGGCTCCAGCGCAGTCTGCCTCTGCAGCCACTACATCCGCGTATGCGGCAGCTTCCGTGGTGGCAGCCAGCGCGGGCGTTCTCTTGGCTGGACGCAAGGGCATCAGCCTGGGCAAGACCACAATCACGGCTTTGAACGTGCTGCCAGCATATTTCACCAGAGTATTGCCTCAATCCGATTTTTACGGTCATTTATACACTTACCCAATGGCACTTATGTGTTTTCATGTGTCCACACATGCTCTGAAATAGCTCGCAATAATCTCAAACGGACGTGGACCATAGAAACGTTTTGAAACATGTGAGAGGATAATGTAGTGGACATCATGCATGCATTGGCATCAACAGCGTGCGTACTTGGCAGGCCTTCGAGCAGGACTTGGGTGCCAGTCGCCATCGGGCAGTGGGTTATGATGCATTTTTTTTTGTGTGTTTTTGGGCCAGTGCAGAACGCGGAAAAAGTACGACAACTGCGTGTATGGTTTTGCTTGGTTTTGATGCATTTCCAGCTGGGGAATGTAATTTAACTGAGCGGCGCAGGAGCTGGGAGTGCAGGCTCCAGTCGGATTTTGGGATCCTTTGGGCTTGGCAAAGGACGGTGATGTGGAGGTGGGGACAGACAATTAATCCACAGACATACTTGGATGTTTTGCTCAGAACTCATTGAGCAAACTGCCAGGCTTTCCAGCGCCGCCGCTCCGTGGAACTCAAGCACGGCAGGACCTGCTTGATCAAACCACAGCATGAGTGACACCAAACTTGTGTTTGACTATTTCAAGGAGGTTAATGGAACGCTGGATAAAAGGCACGACATGCTGGAATTTGCGAGTGCATGCAAAAGCTTGCCTTGCAGGATTGCCATGCTGGCCACCATGGGATCCTTTGCCGCAGCACTTGATGGAAAGCAACAACATGGCATGCCTAGTGCATGAACTGCGTATCATTTCAAGTGTGTTCTTCTTCACAAGTCCGAACCGGCAGAGGCTACATCACACCAGAGATTGCCGGCAAGTGGCCTGGCTATTTGGACCCTACCACTGGTCTGAAGTTCTCCGACGTGCCCAACGGGCTTGCAGCGATCTCCAAGGTGTCTGCATGTTTGGATTTGCGCACACAGTTTGATTCGTTGGAACCAACGTTTTGAAGAGGGGCTTGTGAACCAGCTGCCAGGTGCCAGCAGGCGGCTGGACCCAGATCCTCCTGTGGATGAGCTGGTGCGAGGTCAGCCGAGGAGCCGGATCTGACATTGCCAGCGGCCGCCCAGGCCATCGCAATCCCGCCCATTCTTGACCCATGTTTTTGCAGGCACATACACGTGCAAGCAATGAACAAACATATTCAGCACAACAAACAATTTGCTGCCACTTTGTGCCTGAATTGCATTTCACTCGTCAATGTCCGAAGGTGATTTCGGCTTCTATGTGTTGCAACTTGGCTTGATAGCTTGTTTTTTTCTTTTTTGAACTGTGCGATGGGGATTACGAGAACTTTGAAGTCTCGGCAGACTTCCAGCGCTCGAAAGGACCTCTGCTGATCCTGAGCAGAAGAAAAAGAAACTTGCCGCGGAACTTGCCAACGGAAGGCTTGCAATGCCGCTGTGCCGCAATAAACAAGTCGAAGTCATGCTGGAGGATTCAAGTCCCCACCATGCTGTGTTGAGCTCAGGATGGCCATCATTGGCATGTTCTACCAGGACGGCTTGACAGGTGCGCTCTTGAACCTACCTTCCCACACATATTGACCACAATCACTTGGCAGGGCTGTGGGTGTTTGAACGTGTTTTCAGATGTTGAGGGACTGATTGAAACTGGCGGAGACGGAGCCTTTGCAGTCAGACAGACACACAGACACACACGTATACAATTCTCATTTTGCACACATACAAGCGAAGCGTACAAATACTCAAGGGCGTGCTCAGAAGGGAAAACACGTGCAAAGCTGCTTGTGGAGGCTCTGCCTGGGGGGATTGGGCCAACTACACCGATTCTCCTCTCCGAGCATTCGAGAGCGAGACAGGCACGCTGTTGCAAACTGCGATGGCATGGAGTTGCGTGTTTGCATCCTTTTGCATTTTGCCCTAGGCAATCAAGTAGTTTCAGACCTGGATTTTAAGATGCAAGAGGTTGCTTTGCTGACAATTGTGAGCTCACTATTCGCAAGGCGTGCAACCGCCAGTGGGTTTTTGGGATCCTCTTGGCCTGTCGGCGAGCGGCATCTCGGTTGGCAGTTTCGAGGCACAGGTGAACTTGCTTTTGCTGTGGCGTGTTGAGTTGAATAGATTGATGGATTCACGGCCTCAGGAAACATGTCAGACTTCAAGCGTCGGCGTGAAGTCGAGCTGAAGCACGGCCGTGTGGCCATGCTGCTTGTTCGGAACAAGCGATGCCAGCCTTTGGTGACATATCCTCGAAACCTACATTCAGTGATTGCGAGCCATGCTGAGCTCAGGTTTGCAACGATTGGTTACATTCTCCCGGAGTACTGGCGCTTCCCGGGCTATCTTTCCAAATTCCTGGACCTCCACTTAGCTGTCACCTTGCAAGCTCAAACACACTGTGACACACAGCTCTTGCTAGCTCAAACAAACCACGACAAAGGGCTTCAAGAGGCAGGAAGAGCTCAGGATGTCAAGTTCGCCGACGTCCCCAACGGACTGAGCGCTTTCTCCAAAGTTCCTGCCCTGGGCTGGCTGCAGATTGTGGGCTTCGCTGGTCTCATTGAGATCAACGTGCCTTGGCTACAACTTGGATGCAGGAACCCTTGACAGCGACGTGGCTGACGGTCCATTGTTTGTCTAAACTGAAGAGTTTCAAACAACACACACACACATACACACACACACACACTCACACCTAAATTGTTGTTCCACAACACGTTGTGCCAGGTTTACAACGAGCAGGTGAACGACGAGCCGGGAAATTATGGCGCTGGTTTCCTCGGCTTGAGGCCTGCAAACGGGGCTGCAGTATGCCACAATGGGCCATGTGTTGGGACAGCGAGGTCAGTTGGCATCATGAACACTGGCATCACTGACGCAGAACTGAGAAAGAAGTGGCTTGGCCACTGTTGTGGTGTTTCTGCTCACACATGATTGCTTTCAAGCTTGGTCAGTTTTACAAGTTGGCCGCTCAATGAGGAAGCTCAATGCCGAACTGGCCAACGGCCGTCTCGCCATGATGGCAGCCTTGCAGCAAATGTGTTTTTGAAGCCTCAGTTGCAGAACTTGTTGCATGTACGTACGCCGTGTTTGCAAAGCGCAATTTAAATTTGATTTGGACGATTCTGCTACTGCAGGCAATCATCGGCATGTTCTTCCAGGCCGAGGGAGTGAACGAGAGGGAGAGAAAGTAGTGAGAACGAGATGGAAACAAAGAGACGGGAAGAAGACGGGGAAAGAAGAGAGAAAACGATTGAGAGAGAGTGAGAGAGACAACAGAAAGAGAGAGAGAGAGAGAGAGAGAGAGCGAGAGACAAAGAGAGAGAGAGAGAGATAGAGAAACATAACCCCTTGCAGGGTCGAGGGCAAATGTGGTTGCCTTCTTGATTGGTGCATCGGCTGATTGCCGGACTCGGGCTGTAGGACGGCCTCACGGGCTCTGCCTGGGGTGATTGGGCCAACTACACTGCCTCGCCTCTCCGGGCCTTTGAAGGCGAGCTGGGCGAACCCCGGCAGCAGATGATGTTCTCACGCAACTCACAACACCTCTCGTCGGACGCGGCAGATGACAGGGCATGGTGGGATGTGGGGTGGACGAAGCAGCGCACGGCTTAGGTGCAGCCTCCTGTGGGCTTTTGGGACCCCTTGGGCCTGTCTGCGGATGGCGACGTGGAGGTGTTCAAGCGCCGCCGCGAGACCGAGCTGAAGCATGGCAGGCGGCTGGGCGCTGATATTAGCATGTGTTTACGAGACAATTCTTCGGGTGAGAGGAGCATCTTGACCATATGAGCATACTCGCATTGTGCCCAATGGTTCGGCAAGAGACCACCAGAAAACAAAGGGCCACGTCAAAGTGTGAGTCAGGAAACGATTGGAAATGTCGCGGGAAACAGGTGGAGGCATGTCACAAACCCAAGTGGTAGAGAGTAGACAATACCACCACGCGCGAGTCAGGAACAGGATATTGGAGCCAGAAAACAACGTGTGGCACCTACCGGCACGGGCTGCGTTGGATCTACTGCTGTAACCGCTCAGTGTAAACTTAGTTTCGGTTTTGTCTTGGTTTCTGCTTGGCTAGGTTGGTTGGTGTAGGGTGGGTGTAGGTTTGATTTGGACTGGGTTCATGGGCGTTTCTGGGGCTGGTTTATCCTTGGAGTAAGGTGGGTTTAGGGCAACTTTTTGCATTGTGTACAGTAGGTTTGGGTTAGGTGTGTGTTTGTGTTTGTTTAGGATTTCTTTGGACCTTGGTCCTCCTCTTGACACTTCCTCCCTTTGCTTCCTGACTCGATCTGTTTCCTGACTCTGTTTCCTGGCTCGCGCTTCCGCGACGTTGCTCAATGTGTCAGCCTCATGCCGGCAGCTTCTTGCTGAGGATCTCCATGTACGCTTGCATGGGTTACATTGTCCCGGAGTACTTCAAGTTCCCGGGAGAGCTCTCCCCAAAGATGGGCCTGAAGTTTGCGGACATCCCCAACGGACTCGCTGCCCTCACCAAGGCACCAGACAAAATTGAGGGAGAGAGGGAGTGGAAGAGACGGAAAGGGGGAACCGTGCATTGAATATGACAAGAAAGAGGACGTTTAGATAGAGAGAAATTCGCAAACCTGAGGTGCCGGGGCAGGGCTGGGCGCAGATTGTGGCCTTCCTGGGCACATATGAGCTCTTCGTCAACGGCAAGGCTGTGCCATGGTCGCATCAGTTGAAACGCTAAAAACAAATGTAGCTTTGTTTTGTGCGCATCAGCCCAACTGTGCAGAGCTAGACGGCAGCAGAGGGATGGAAATGCCCAATAGCTCCCTGTGGTGCCGAAAGCTCCGCTTGTGACGACATCATGATCAAATATCCTCAAGTCAAACACATTTTGACAAGACTGTGCCCCAAAATCTCTAACGGATGACATGCTCATGGTGTTCCGTGACGCACCCAGACGCTGAGTCCAAATGCCACGCACATGAGGTCGGCGATGAGCCGGGCAACTATGGCAAGGGCAACCTTGGCTTGGGCTTCCTTGGGCCTGTCACGAACCCGGATGCACGCAAGAAGAAGCTTTCGGCCGAGCTGGCAAACGGCCGCCTGGCCATGATGGCCATCATTGGCATGCAGCTTGGCGAGGTAAGGCTGCTGGCTGCTGCTGGCTGTGGGTCGTGTGTCAGACCTTTGTGGATTGTGTGTCAATGCTGTGTGCACGTTTGTAGGCTGGACGTGTGTGTGGCCCAGGTTCTTCCAAGACGGCCTTACCGGTTCCGCCTGGGGAGACTGGGCGCTGTACACCGACTCTCCTCTGCGTATCTGGGCCTTGTTGGCTTGATGCATCCATGCAGGTTTTGTATGCGACTTGCACAAGACAGGATGACTGGACGCCTGAAGGGATGATCTGCAACAGCCAACATATTCCGAGGCAGCGGTGTCAAGAGCCCTGGCTACAACACCCTGCCGGAGTTCGAGAAGCCTAAGAACGGCTTTGGGCTGAGCATTGTTTTCCTTAAACGCGTTTTCGTGTGCACGTGCGACTTGAAGTGTATGATTTGCTGCACGTGCACGAGCTGCCTTGGTGATAGCAGATGTGAGGCTTCGAGGGTCTGGTGGGCGACCAGGCGCCAGTCGGCTTCTGGGACCCCCTGGGTCTGTCCAAGGACAAGGACGTGGAGGTCTTCAAGAGGCCGAGCGGCAGGAAAGATGGGAGATGAGTTGCCCAGGATTGATGCGTTGCAACGGCCATGCAAATTCTATTATGCAGCTTTACTCAAGCTGACTTGTTGTTTCTTGGAACCCGCAGGCGTCGCGAGACGGAGATCAAGCACGGACGAGTCGCCATGTTTGCGACCATGGGCCGACTGCTTAGCTTGACAATTACAGACACTTTGCGTTGAAGAGCTAATGGATCGCTTGCTTGTTTTCCATCGCAGTTGTTGGATCTTTGTTGCCTCTTGCTGTGTGCTTTGAGGCTACATCGCTCCTGAGTACTACAAGTTTGATGGCTACCTGTCCCCATCCATGAACCTTAAGTTCACTGATGTGCCCAACGGTCTGAAGGCGCTAGTGCTTCTGAGTTTCTTGGAGTCACACTGTCAATATTCGGCTGTCAGAACAAGGCGTGGTGGCATTTGGCAGGCGCTCTCCGTGGTGCCCAAGGAGGGCTGGGCTCAGATGGTTGCGTTCGCCGGCTTCTTGGAGTTGGTCGTGAACAAGAAGACCTCCGAGCCAGGCTGGTGATTGATCACATATTATTTACCGTACAAGAAGTGTGGGTTGACTGTCACTAAGAGTTGCTTGTTGCTTTCCGCAGACAGTTGTCGTACTTTGGCGAGGCAACTACGGCAAGGGCAACCTTGGCCTCGGCAACGTTGGCTTCGGCAGCTCCGTCCAGAACCCTGAGCTCAGGCAACGGAGTCGGCACATGTTGGATCGTCTTAGTTCAATCGGCAAGCCCGTGATGCTTCTTAGTGGGCTTTACCAAGCACGACCCGCTAGGACCAAGAAACTGAATGCCGAGCTTGCCAACGGACGCCTGGCCATGATGGCCATCATTGGCATGTGCCTTGGCGGGTTCAGACCTTCTCCAATCTCCCGCGTAGTATGGTTGTCACATTCGCTGTTTTGCATAAGCATGCGGCTACATGCAAACACTTAATCATGACTACGCGATGTTGAATTTGGGTTCGATGTTCAATGTCAGCCAAGCGGCTTGCTTGAAAGCTAGTGCGGGACTCAGAATGTTTGACGGATCCACGCCAATTCACTTGCTTCTTTTGCTGCAGATGGCGAAACATAAGTACTCGCACATGCTCATGGAACGAGATGACTCTTCATGTGTTTTTGAATCTAAAGGTACAGTGGCCTCCGACAAAGGCAAACCCGGAAGCATTGTCCACAATGGTCCTTATCATGTAACATGCAGGCCATTTCGTACAATCGCACAGAGAACCTGAGCTGCGCTGGAATGGTTGGCAGCATTATCTCAGCGAATTGTGAAGTAAGTCCCTGCCAGTGCTGTCCAGAACGCAGCATCATTGAAAGCCATGATGTGTAACCTTTGCCAAGAGATTCTGGCGCGGAAGGTTCTTCCAGGACGGCCTCACCGGCTCTGCCTGGGGAGACTGGGCCAACTACACTGACTCGCCCCTCCGAGCCTTCGAGGGTGAGCTGGGCGTGCCTCGAACGGAAAAGTTTGCAGAGTGACGTGGCAGATGACGGGGCATGGTAGGATAGCGGGGGTGGACGAAGCGGCACGGGCAGAATTTGAGAGCGTAGCCGGCAGTCCGCACGGCTTAGGTGCAGCCTCCTGTGGGCTTTTGGGACCCCTTGGGCCTGTCTGCGGATGGCGACGTGGAGGTGTTCAAGCGCCGCCGCGAGACCGAGCTGAAGCATGGCAGGCGGCTGGGGCGCTGATTGCATGTGTTGAAGAGTCACATCTTTGAGGCAGTATATACATATTCCAGGGGGGTACCATATATACATATATGTATATACACACATGTATATATAATATACATACATATACATATATATATATATATATATGAGCACATGGCACGCTCGCGCTGCGTCCAATGGTTCGGCGACGTTGCTCAATGTGTCAGCCTCATGCCGGCAGCTTCTTGCTGAGGATCTCCATGTACGCTTGCATGGGTTACATTGTCCCGGAGTACTTCAAGTTCCCGGGAGAGCTCTCCCCAAAGATGGGCCTGAAGTTTGCGGACATCCCCAACGGACTCGCTGCCCTCACCAAGGCACCAGACAAAATTGAGGGAGAGAGGGAGTGGAAGAGACGGAAAGGGGGAACCGTGCATTGAATATGACAAGAAGGAGGACGTTTAGATAGAGAGAAATTCGCAAACCTGAGGTGCCGGGGCAGGGCTGGGCGCAGATTGTGGCCTTCCTGGGCACATATGAGCTCTTCGTCAACGGCAAGGCTGTGCCATGGTCGCATCAGTTGAAACGCTAAAAGCAAATGTAGCTTTGTTTTGTGCGCATCAGCCCAACTGTGCAGAGCTAGACGGCAGCAGAGGGATGGAAATGCCCAATAGCTCCCTGTGGTGCCGAAAGCTCCGCTTGTGACGACATCATGATCAAATATCCTCAAGTCAAACACATTTTGACAAGACTGTGCCCCAAAATCTCTAACGGATGACATGCTCATGGTGTTCCGTGACGCACCCAGACGCTGAGTCCAAATGCCACGCACATGAGGTCGGCGATGAGCCGGGCAACTATGGCAAGGGCAACCTTGGCTTGGGCTTCCTTGGGCCTGTCACGAACCCGGATGCACGCAAGAAGAAGCTTTCGGCCGAGCTGGCAAACGGCCGCCTGGCCATGATGGCCATCATTGGCATGCAGCTTGGCGAGGTAAGGCTGCTGGCTGCTGCTGGCTGTGGGTCGTGTGTCAGACCTTTGTGGATTGTGTGTCAATGCTGTGTGCACGTTTGTAGGCTGGACGTGTGTGTGGCCCAGGTTCTTCCAAGACGGCCTTACCGGTTCCGCCTGGGGAGACTGGGCGCTGTACACCGACTCTCCTCTGCGTATCTGGGCCTTGTTGGCTTGATGCATCCATGCAGGTTTTGTATGCGACTTGCACAAGACAGGATGACTGGACGCCTGAAGGGATGATCTGCAACAGCCAACATATTCCGAGGCAGCGGTGTCAAGAGCCCTGGCTACAACACCCTGCCGGAGTTCGAGAAGCCTAAGAACGGCTTTGGGCTGAGCATTGTTGTCCTTAAACGCGTTTTCGTGTGCACGTGCGACTTGAAGTGTATGATTTGCTGCACGTGCACGAGCTGCCTTGGTGATAGCAGATGTGAGGCTTCGAGGGTCTGGTGGGCGACCAGGCGCCTGTCGGCTTCTGGGACCCCTTGGGTCTGTCCAAGGACAAGGACGTGGAGGTCTTCAAGAGGCCGAGCGGCAGGAAAGATGGGAGATGAGTTGCCCAGGATTGATGCGTTGCAACGGCCATGCAAATTCTATTGTGCAGCTTTACTCAAGCTGACTTGTTGTTTCTTGGAACCCGCAGGCGTCGCGAGACGGAGATCAAGCACGGACGAGTCGCCATGTTTGCGACCATGGGCCGACTCCTTAGCTTAACAATTACAGACAATTTGCGTTGAAGAGCTAATGGATCGCTTGCTTGTTTTCCATCGCCTCTTGCTGTGTGCTTTGAGGCTACATCGCTCCTGAGTACTACAAGTTTGATGGCTACCTGTCCCCATCCATGAACCTTAAGTTCACTGATGTGCCCAACGGTCTGAAGGCGCTAGTGCTTCTGAGTTTCTTGGAGTCACACTGTCAATATTCGGCTGTCAGAACAAGGCGTGGTGGCATTTGGCAGGCGCTCTCCGTGGTGCCCAAGGAGGGCTGGGCTCAGATGGTTGCGTTCGCCGGCTTCTTGGAGTTGGTCGTGAACAAGAAGACCTCCGAGCCAGGCTGGTGATTGATCACATATTATTTACCGTACAAGAAGTGTGGGTTGACTGTCACTAAGAGTTGCTTGTTGCTTTCCGCAGACAGTTGTCGTACTTTGGCGAGGCAACTACGGCAAGGGCAACCTTGGCCTCGGCAACGTTGGCTTCGGCAGCTCCGTCCAGAACCCTGAGCTCAGGCAACGGAGTCGGCACATGTTGGATCGTCTTAGTTCAATCGGCAAGCCGGTGATGCTTCTTAGTGGGCTTTACCAAGCACGACCCGCTAGGACCAAGAAACTGAATGCCGAGCTTGCCAACGGACGCCTGGCCATGATGGCCATCATTGGCATGTGCCACGGCAGGTTGAAATTGATCATGCAGCAGTGCACATGCACGTCAATGTGAAGATCCTACAAAGTTGAGCTCAGGTTCTTCCAAGATGGACTTACAGGGTCAGCATGGGGAGATTGGGCCACTTACACAGATTCGCCTTTGCGGTGAGCAGAGGGCAAGTGAGCAAGACGCTGTGCTGGCTGAAGGGGCAAAAAAGCAGCAGATGGCCTCACAAGGCTACGACATGCGGACTAAGAATTGCCATGCCTTGCACAGTTATCCAATGAAACGAAGCGTTTGGCTCAAGGGCGCCAAACCATCCGTAGGACAGAGGGTCACACTTCGAGGCACCTCGAAGTTGTGTTGGCTTATTCTTCCTTTGCCTCCAGGACGGGGTTGGCAAACATGTCGCCAGGCAGAAATGTTCAGTCTCGCCAGGTGACAAGCTAGCGATCCGGGTTCCTGCGATATGAAGCCGCATGTTTGTCGAGTGGCCCTGAAGGATGGCTTCCAAGAAGAGCGCAGCCCTCACGGTCGGCTTGGCAGGCGAGCCCTACCTCCAACTGAGACTGATTTTCATTTCCGAAGAGATCTTTCCCACCTTCAAAGTCAACAGGGGTTGCTGGTCAGTGTGGGGCATGTAGAACTTGAGTAACGTGACCTTCCTTAGCATCATCCTACATGTGATGCCAGGAGCCGCGGCCGGAAGCGCCTTTATTTGCGGCGCAGGCCACGACACCGCCGCTTGTGAGAGATCGTTTTAATCATATTCATGCATTCACGATGCCCAAAGGAAGGCGGGGCAGCCACACATAGAGCTTGACGGCTTTTTGGCCTGCCTGAGCAGCTTCTGTTGGCTTCAATGAACGACAACCAAGAGTGCGTGCTTGTGTGTGTGTGTGTGACATGCACGCGTGCGCAGGCAGCCAAACAAAGGGCGCTTTGCGTGCCACGGTCAAGGCTAACCAGGCAGGATGTGTGGAGTTGGGCATGCTGCAGCAATATCTCAGCTTTGCACCTTGCATGAAAACCTGCGTGACGAAAGCTGCAGGCGCCGTCCGCATCTGGGCATGCCTCGGCGTCTACCTCCACCTACGCAGCAGCCTCGGTGGTGGCGGCCAGCACTGGCGTGCTGCTGGCAGGGCGCAAGGGCAGCAGCCTCAGCAACACCGCCGTCACAGCGTTGAAGGCGCGAGCATGCCTCTGGATGCATTGGTCAACATTTTTGTGAAGATTCCCACAGTTCTCTGCAGATGAAAAGGCATGTTCATGTTTTGGCTTGTTTGCAGAACAGCAGAGCCTCTTCGTACATGCACAGACACAAGCAACCGCACACACACACACACATACTTGCGATCGAACCTGTTGACATCATCCACATTTGCCCGTTGGCAGGCCTTCGAGCAGGACAGAGGGGCAAATGTAACAGGATGACTCGTGCATTTCGAGTGGGATTATGGAGCACAAGTTTTTGCAACACCGAGTCCTTTGCAAATGTATCATGATGAGGACGCTAGCATGTTTTCAGGGTAGTTGATCTTCACCTCATGATGTTACATTCATGTATGGTTCGATTATATGAATATAGTTTTTTGGCACATCATCAGCAGACTTCAGGTTGAACTCCGTAGACTGATGCCCATCAAAAGCTCAAAGACCAACCGAATTTGGACAGTGTGACACCTTCACCGCTCAACGCAGGAGCTGGGAGTGCAGGCTCCTGTCGGATTTTGGGATCCTTTGGGCCTGGCAAAAGACGGTGATGTGGAGGTCGGGACAGAAAGACACACCAACAAACGGATAATCGGATTTGATGTTTTCACTTAACTCATTGAGCAAAGTGACAGGCTTTCCAGCGCCGCCGCTCCGTGGAACTCAAGCACGGCAGGACCTGCTTGATCAAACCACAGCATGAGTGACACCAAACTTGTGTTTGAATCCTTCAAAGAGGTTGATTGAACACTGGATAGAAGGCATGACAAAACTTGCCTGAGAGGATTGCCATGCTGGCCACCATGGGATCCTTTGCCGCAGCACTTGCTTTCAAATGCATGAATTGGGTATCATTCCAAGTGTGTTCTTCACAAGTCCGAGCCGGCAGAGGCTACATCACACCAGAGATCGCCGGCAAGTGGCCTGGCTATTTGGACCCTACCACTGGTCTGAAGTTCTCCGACGTGCCCAACGGGCTTGCAGCGATCTCCAAGGTGTCTGCATGTTTGGATTTGCGCACACAGTTTGATTCGTTGGAACCAACGTTTTGAAGAGGGGCTTGTGAACCAGCTGCCAGGTGCCAGCAGGCGGCTGGACCCAGATCCTCCTGTGGATGAGCTGGTGCGAGGTCAGCCGAGGAGCCGGATCTGACATTGCCAGCGGCCGCCCAGGCCATCGCAATCCCGCCCATTCTTGACGCATGTTTTTGCTGGCACATACACATGCAAGCAATGAACAAACATATTCAGCACATCAATAATTTGCTGCCACTTTGTGCCTGAATTGCATCTCAGTCCGCTTCAATGTCCGAAGGTGATTTCGGCTTCTATGTGTTGCAACTTGGCTTGATAGCTTGATACCTTTTTTATGTGCGGTGCATTGTGGGGGTTCCGAGAACTTGAAGTGTCTCGGCAAATTTCAAGCGCTCGAAAGGACCTCTGCTGATCCTGAGCAGAAGAAAAAGAAGCTTGCCGCGGAACTTGCCAACGGAAGGCTTGCCATGCCGCTGGGCTGCAATAAACAAGTCGAAGTCATGCTGGAGGATGCAAGTGCCCACCGTGCCGTGTTGAGCTCAGGATGGCCATCATTGGCATGTTTTATCAGGACGGCTTGACAGGCACACCTTGGAACCAGTTTGTTCTGAGTGAAGGGGAAGTAGTAAGACCTGCAAGCACGCACATACAAAACGCAGCGGCATAACTACCTGCACACACAACGCACACCACAGACACTGAATCAAATACCCGCAAGTACACAGGCATCCATGCATGCATGGCATGCATGCATGCATGCATGCATGGATGGATGGATGGATGGATGGATGGATGGATGGATGGATGGATGCATGGATGGATGCATGGACGCATGGACGCATGGATGCATGGATGCATGGATGCATGGATGCATGGATGCATGGATGCATGGATGCATGGATGCATGGATGCATGGATGGATGGATTGATGGATGGATGGATCGATCGATCGATTGATGGCTGCATACACGATGCATATCATATATGAATCATATATGTATTTATGCACGCATGCATGCATTCATACATACGTACACACATACACACATATACACATTTACAAACATACACACATACACATATACACGTACACATACATACATACATGCATGCATGCATACATACATACTTTCATACTTTCATACCAACTTTTACATAGGCATATTCATGTACTTATACATATACATATACATATGCATATACATGTAGCCGTCTCCGACCCCTAGGACCCACCTTGCGCAGCGTGCCACTGGGTTTGGGTTTAAGTTTCCCGCCGCGAAATTGGCAATCCACACGCCTTGAGCAGCTTCCGCCCTCATTTTTTTAAGACGTGCCCGGCCAATGAAGCCATTGAGACTGCATCAGGTCTTCCGCTCATGCCATGATTCAGCCGACCAGTGCTGCATGCGTCTTGCGTCTTGCGAGTACAACCCACATTCGGCGAAGACAGGGCAGGAAGCTGCGGCGCTCGATGTGGGGGAAGTCTTGTGCCACTTGGGTGGCCAAGTCCTCTCGAGATCTACAAAATAAAGGCATAGCCAAGAAGGGCTTAAATCTTTGCTTCCATCAACTGTGTCAATCTAGAAAAGGTTGTCAACAACACACGTGTGCTTGGCTCCGCTGGTTTGATTTCCTGTCGGCGTGGTTCGATTTCCTGTGGGCGTGATCATTGAAGTATTGAACATGGGTCTTGTGGATGAAGCCTCGCCCCATGTTTCGCGCTTATGTGGGCCGCGAAGAACCTGAACAGACGTTCCGTGCCGACGAACGCTATTACCCAACCCCCCCCAACCCGGGTCAAACCTACATATACATATACATACAAAGCTCACCTTGCCTTACGTTACCTTACGTTACGTTACGCTACAGTACATTCAACTACATTACGTTACATTACGTTGCATTGCGTTACATCGCATTACATTACATTACATTACAATGCATTGCATTACATTACAGCACATTGCATACATTACAGCGTACTACATTGCAGTACATTGCGTTACATGACATGACGCGACATGCCATGACATCACATTACATTGCATCACATTGCACACATACGTACACACATAACCTATATACCTACATACCTACATACCTACATACGTACATACCTACATACCTACATACCTACATACCTACATACCTACATACCTACATACCTACATACCTACATACCTACATACCTGCATACATACATACATACATACATACATACATACATACATACATACATACATACATACATACATACATACATACATACATACATACATACATACATACATACATACACACATACACACATACATGCGACACACCTACACATACATACGTACGTACATACAGACATACGTCCATACATCCATGCATCCATACGTCCATACGTGCACACATCCACACATCTATCCATCCATCCATCCATCCATCCATGCATGCATCCATGCATGCATGCATGCATGCATGCATGCATGCATCCATGCATCCATCCATCCATCCATCCATCCATCCGTCCATCCATCCATCCATCCATCCATCCATCCATCCATCCATCCATCCATCCATCCATCCATCCATCCATCCATCCATCCATCCATCCATCCATCCATCCATCCATCCATCCATCCATCCATCCATCCATCCATCCATCCATCCATCCATCCATCCATCCATCCATCCATCATCCGTACATCCATACGAACACATCCATACATCCATACATCCATTCATGAATACATCCATACATCCCTGTGCGTCTGAGTGCCTGTCCGTCTATGAATGTGTGGATGTACGGATGTACATCCATGCATGGATGCATGGATGCACAAAAGCATGGAGTCATGGATGCATGGATGTATGGGTGTATTCATGTATGGATGTATGGATGTATGGATGTACGGATGTATGGATGCATGGATGCACAGATGCATGGATGCATGCAGACAGGCAGGCAGACGGACGGACGGACGGACAGACAGACAGACTGAGAGACTGAGAGACAGAGAGACAGAGAGATAGAGAGACGCAGACACAGAGGCAGACGGAGAGGAGAGGGAGAGGTAGAGAGGCAGAGGCAGGCAGATCCCCACGCCGCAAGCCAGTCTACCTCAAAGTTGTCAGAGGTACGACGGCGCTTTCATTTGCTAGGGCGGCAGTTGCCAACTTGAACGCTGGGGCACGTGCCTTGTTGGAGGCAAACCCAAGAAGCCACTTGCGTGTTTCTAGGCTCTAATTGCAAGTCAGGTCAAGTAAAACTATACTCCCGTAGTACGAACCTGTGTGTTAAAGCGTCCTATAGCAGCAGCTCTACAAGCTCGGGTAGCTCATCTAATAGCAACCAAGAAAAGGCCCGCGCTAGTGCGCCTGTCAGTTCTCTGTACGTTTCTTAGTCAAGCCTATTGTGCCACAGGCCTGATGATCTGTGAAGACGAGATTTGCGATTCGTGCTTCCATCTCATCCATTCTTCAACCCCGGCCAGCGACGGCTGTGATTTTCCAACAACACCTTCCATCGCCGCAGCCGTCAAGCGCAAAGCTGCCCAGCTAAAGGCGGCTACTGCTTCCCCGCCAATGACTTGGTCTAAATGATTCTGTTGCCCTTGTTCTCTCGTTTACAGTTTTTAGTGCAGCGTGAAAACGCTGCGCTGCAGTGAGAAGGCCAGCAGCACCTTGTGGTGGAAGAAGCGGTTCAGGCAGACGGCGTTTGGGCGCGGCCCCTCCGGCCGCCGCATGTTCTACCTTGGCGAGGATGAGCAAGGGGAACATGCAAAAATAGAATCGGACCCTAAAGGTTTTCCGGCGCAAATAAGTGTTTTCCCCAAGGCAGAGAGAGAGAGAGAGACAGAGAGAGAGAGAGAGAGTAAGAGAGAAAGACAGACAGGCAGAGAGGCAGACATGACAGACTGACAGACTGACAGACTGACACACAGACAGATTGACAGAAGGACTGAGTGACGGACAGACTGACAGACTGACACATGCGCGTGTCAGACATACAGACATATACCGATATGCTCTTAGATAGGCGCGCGTGCACACACGTATATATATATATGTATATACACATGTGTACAATTGTTCAAGCGCGCGCGCAGACACATATGCGTGCATCCGTACATTCGTGTACGCATGCGCGCGTGAGCGCATTAACCCGCGCACACACAGACCCACGTACATCATATCATACTTACAAAGATGCACTTCAGTTCTCATAGATACGCAAACCCGCATACGTACGTACGCGAATTCGCGCACACACATATACAGCTGTTCACACACACGCGCACGCACGCACAGTAGATCCGGATATCCGTACATACTTGTATGCATTCACATACATGCACCCATGAGCACATTCACCGCGCACACACACGCGTGTCTCTCGATTGTGCAGACTCCGACTTCTATAACTACGCAGAATCGGCACTACACACAACACCTCTACACGTACACACGCACACACACGCATGCACACGCGCACACACACACACACCCACACCCACACCCACACCCACAAGCACGCGCACACGCGCACGCGCACGCGCGCACGCGTGCACGCCCGCACGCGCGCGCGCGCGCACGCGCGCACGCGCACACGCGCACACGCGCGCGCACACACGCACACACGCACACACGCACACACGCACACACGCACACATGCAGACACGCACACACGCACGCGCACACACGCACACACGCACACACGCACACACGCACACACACGCACACATGCACACACGCACACACGCACACACGCACACACGCACGCACGCACGCACGCACGCGCACGCCCACGGACGCCCACGCACGCACAGGCACGCACACGCACGCACACGCACGCACACGCACGCACACGCACGCGCACGCGCGCACACGCACGCACACGCACGCGCACGCACGCACATGCACGCACATGCACACGCACGCAGGCACACGCAGGCACACGCAGGCACACGCACGCACACGCACACGCGCACGTACGTATACGCACGCACACGCACGCACACACGCACACACGCACGCACGCGCGCGCGCGCACGCGCACGCGCACGCACACGCGCACGCACACACACACACACGCACACGTCCACGCACACGCACACGCACACGCACACGAACACGCGCACGCACACGCACACGCACACGCACACGCACACGCACACGCACACGCACACGCACACGCACGCGCACGCGCACGCGCACGCGCACGCACACGCACATGCGCACGCACACGCACGCGCCCACGCACGCGCCCACGCACACGCGCACGCGCACGCGCACGCGCTCGCGCACGCGCGCGCACGCGCACGGAGGCACGTGCACGCGCCTCCGCACGCGCACGGGCACGGGCACGCGCACGCGCACGCGCACGCGCACGCGCACGCTCACGCGCACGCGCACGCGCACGCGCACGCACAGGCACACCCACACGCACACGCACACGCACACGCACACGCGGACGCACACGCACACGCGCACGCACACGCACACGCACACGCATACGCACACGCACACGCACACGCGCACGCGCACGCGCACGCGCACGCACACACGCACACACGCACACACGCACACACGCACACACGCACACACGCACACACGCACACACGCGCACACGCGCGCACGCGCGCACACACAGACAGACACACACACACACACACCAACACCACACACACACACACACCCACACCCACACCCACACCCACACGCACACGCACACGCACACACACACGCACACGCACACGCACACGCGCAAGCACACGCACACGCACACGCACACGCACGCGCACACGCACACGCACACGCGCACGCGCACGCGCACGCGCACGCACACGCACACGCACACACGCACACACGCACACACGCACACACGCACACACGCACACACGCACACGCGCACACGCGCACACGTTCACACGCACACACGCACACACACGCGCACACGCGCACACGCTCACACGCGCACACGCGCACACGCGCACACGCGCACACGCGCACACGCACACGCACAGGCACACGCACACGCACATACACACGCACACATTTTCACAATCACATTTAGACACGCATGTACGCAATCAACGTACATACGCAAGTACACATTCACACAGTTACGCATGCACACAACACACTTACACACATGGTCACACATACGCAAAAGCACAGACACGCACCCAGTAAGTCGGACTGACCTGGGAATGACGCCTATATTGGCCACAAGGATTCCCTGAGGTCACCAACCTTCATTGGTTTTGCAGCAATATCACGTGAGTCCGTCCAACTTGCCTGGTTCAAATCTGGCCTTTTGACACACTCTGAAACACAAGGCCTTTCGCTTTTCTACTTGCTTGTGCAGGCTCTGCCTGGGGGGATTGGGCCAACTACACCGATTCTCCTCTCCGAGCATTCGAGAGCGAGACAGGCCTGCATTGCGGGCTGGGAATTTCACGTTCAAGTTTATTGCTTGACATGGCATGCGAAGGTGTTCAGCCACCAGTGGGTTTTTGGGATCCTCTTGGCCTGTCGGCGAGCGGCATCTCGGTCGGCAGTTTTGAGGCAAAGGTGAACTTGCTTTTGTTGTGGCGTGTTGAGTTGGATAGATTGATGGATTGATGGCCTGAGGAAACATGTCAGACTTTAAGCGTCGGCGTGAAGTCGAACTGAAGCACGGCCGTGTGGCCATGCTGCTTGTTCGGAACAAGCGATGCCAGCCTTTGGTGACATATCCTCGAAACCTACATTCAGTGATTGCGAGCCATGCTGAGCTCAGGTTTGCAACGATTGGTTACATTCTCCCGGAGTACTGGCGCTTCCCGGGCTATCTTTCCAAATTCCTGGACCTCCACTTAGCTGTCACCTTGCAAGCTCAAACACACTGTGACACACAGCTCTTGCTAGCTCAAACAAACCACGACAAAGGTCTTCAAGAGGCAGGAAGAGCTCAGGATGTCAAGTTCGCCGACGTCCCCAACGGACTGAGCGCTTTCTCCAAAGTTCCTGCCCTGGGCTGGCTGCAGATTGTGGGCTTCGCTGGTCTCATTGAGATCAACGTGCCTTGGACCACGCAAGTCACCGAGACAGAGCAGTGCACGGGCGTTTGCAGAAGCAGAAGTAGAGGGTGTTGGTGAAATGCTGATGGACACTGATGGAGCATTTCGCTCATCCGCGTTCTGAAACGAATATTTCTTCTTGCCTCAAGTTCTTGGTTCTCCTTTGAATTTTATTCGTGTTCCTCTGTCTTGACTTCCATCTCAATCCTAGAGCAAACCTTGCTGTATTTTGCGCAGCCGTGCGAGAATGCGTGTCATCAAGCAGCTACAACCCTGCAATTGCAGAGATGCTATTTTTGTCAACAACACGTAGCTTGGCATTGTGCTCGCTTGGGCAATCGGAGGACGTTTGTCGGGGCAGGTCCTCTAATTGAAAACTGCTTTAGATCGCTCGCCCAGCTTCAAAACACCACTCAAGGTCTACAATGAGCAGGTGAACGATGAGCCCGGCAACTATGGTGCAGGCTTCCTTGGCCTTAGGCAGGGTTCTTGTGTTGCCTTGGTGCGATGCACGGTCATTGAAATCATGAAAGGACAGGTCATGTTCACTTTGCCAAGCGTCGACACATTGTTATTACAGAGTTGCGTGGAGCCATGTCCGGTCCGAGACCAAACATCAGCTTGTGTCGTCGCACGTAGGCGTCCAGCGGTTTGATTCGTCGTGTTATTTATTTTGCATGCACTGAAGGCCGAGTGACCCTTGACTCTGCTGCGGAGGTCTGTGGGCATCATGAACACTGGCATTACGGATCCGGAGCTTCGAAAGAAGATGCTAAGCTGGCCTTTTTGTTTGTTTTGCCGCGTGCGTTCATCATTTGCCCGATGGGCAAACAATTGTGAGAGCTGGCTATTCAAGGAAGCTCAATGCCGAGTTGGCCAACGGCCGTCTGGCCATGATGGCAGCTTGGTCGCATGTAGTTTGCAAATGCATTTGCGCGGTGGGGAGTGGGGGGTGGAGATTCGCTGCTGCAGGCAATCATTGGCATGTTCTTTCAGGCCGAGAGAGAGAAAGCAATTGAGAGAGAGAGAGAGAGACAGAGAAAGAGACAGAGAAAGACACAGAGCCACTTGCAGGGATTGCCTTCCTTTGATGCCCATCGCGAAACGTAAGGGAAGCATCAGGCCTTCTTGTTTGGTGCTTAGGCTGACTGCCTAGACTCTGACTCGGGCTGTAGGACGGCCTCACGGGCTCTGCCTGGGGTGATTGGGCCAACTACACTGCCTCGCCTCTCCGGGCCTTCGAAGGCGAGCTGGGCGAACCCCGGCAGCAGATGATGTTCGCACGAAACTCACAAGGTGTTGTCGCGTCGGACGGGGCACGGCGGGATGGTTTGGTGAACGAAACGACATAGAAGGAATTTGACAGCGTAGCCGGCAGTCCGCACGGCTTAGGTGCAGCCTCCTGTGGGCTTTTGGGACCCCTTGGGCCTGTCTGCGGATGGCGACGTGGAGGTGTTCAAGCGCCGCCGCGAGACCGAGCTGAAGCATGGCAGGCGGCTGGGGCGCTGATTAGCATGTGTTCAAGCGGCAAAGCTTTGAGGCAGCATATATATATATATATATGCACACACACACACACACACATGCGAGCACCGTGAGCACATGGCACGCTCGCGCTGCGTCCCATGGTTCGGCGACGTGGCTCAATGTGTCAGCCTCATGCCGGCAGCTGCTTGCTGAGGATCTCCATGTACGCTTGCATGGGTTACATTGTCCCGGAGTACTTCAAGTTCCCGGGAGAGCTCTCCCCAAAGATGGGCCTGAAGTTTGCGGACATCCCCAACGGACTCGCTGCCCTCACCAAGGCCCCAGACAAAATAGAGGGAGAGAGGGAGTGGAAGAGAAGACAGAAGGGGGGGGTGAGAGACGTGCAGCGAATATGACAGCAAGGAGGACGTTTAGATAGAGAGAGATTCGCAAACCTGAGGTGCCGGGGCAGGGCTGGGCGCAGATTGTGGCCTTCTTGGGCACATATGAGCTCTTCATCAACGGCAAGACTGTGCCATGGTCGCATCAGTTGAAACGCAGATGTCAAATGTGTCCATTTGCCTGAAATATGCAGAGCTAGGCGCCAGCAGTGTGACTGCAATGCCTTTGTTGCCATGGAATGACCTGAGCCATTGGTTTTGACTGATCCTACTTGCCGTTCATGTTACTAGTCGCTGCTTGCGGCATAAGATCAATTCGATTATTCGATCACCTGCCTCTGCAAAAAGCAGACCGCTTGTGACAACATTCGTATTTATGCTCGACTCACAGCATTTGGAGGAGCTGTTCCCCAATATCTCAACAGATGCCATCCCAATTGCGCTGCACGCACATGAGGTCGGCGATGAGCCGGGCAACTATGGCAAGGGCAACCTTGGCTTGGGCTTCCTTGGGCCTGTCACGAACCCGGATGCACGCAAGAAGAAGCTTTCGGCCGAGCTGGCAAACGGCCGCCTGGCCATGATGGCCATCATTGGCATGCAGCTTGGCGAGGTAAGGCTGCTGGCTGCTGCTGGCTGTGGGTCGTGTGTCAGACCTTTGTGGATTGTGTGTCAATGCTGTGTGCACGTTTGTAGGCTGGACGTGTGTGTGGCCCAGGTTCTTCCAAGACGGCCTTACCGGTTCCGCCTGGGGAGACTGGGCGCTGTACACCGACTCTCCTCTGCGTATCTGGGCCTTGTTGGCTTGATGCATCCGTGCAGGTTTTGTATGCGACTTGCACAAGACAGGATGACTGGACGCCTGAAGGGATGATCTGCAACAGCCAACATACTCCGAGGCAGCGGTGTCAAGAGCCCTGGCTACAACACCCTGCCGGAGTTCGAGAAGCCTAAGAACGGCTTTGGGCTGAGCATTGTTTTCCTTAAACGCGTTTTCGTGTGCACGTGCGACTTGAAGTGTATGATTTGCTGCACGTGCACGAGCTGCCTTGGTGATAGCAGATGTGAGGCTTCGAGGGTCTGGTGGGCGACCAGGCGCCTGTCGGCTTCTGGGACCCCCTGGGTCTGTCCAAGGACAAGGACGTGGAGGTCTTCAAGAGGCCGAGCGGGAGGAAAGATGGGAGATGAGTTGCCCAGGATTGATGCGTTGCAACGGCCATGCAAACGCTATTTTGCAGCTTTACTCAAGCTGCTGAGGCTTTGTTGACTTGTTTTCTTGGAACCAGCAGGCGCCGCGAGACGGAGATCAAGCACGGACGAGTCGCCATGTTTGCGACCATGGGCCGACTCCTTAGCTTGACAATTACAGACAATTTGCGTTGAAGAGCTAATGGATCGCTTGCTTGCTTTCCATCGCAGTTGTTGGATCTTTGTTGCCTCTTGCTGTAACTGTGCTTTGAGGCTACATCGCTCCTGAGTACTACAAGTTTGATGGCTACCTGTCCCCATCCATGAACCTTAAGTTCACTGATGTGCCCAACGGTCTGAAGGCGCTAGTGCTTCTGAGTTTCTTGGAGTCACACTGTTCATATTCGGCTGTCAGAGCAGCACGGTGACGCGGTCGCATATATGCCTTGGTCCAAACACCCCCTCTGGTCATGAGTTCTTTACTTGCAGTTTAGGCAACAGTAATAAGTAATCCTTCTACAGGAGTACTAAAGGAGCCATGACCATGATCTACAAGGAGCTTTGACCACAACACATATGATGCCAACTCAACTTTGGCAGGCGCTCTCCGTGGTGCCCAAGGAGGGCTGGGCTCAGATGGTTGCGTTCGCCGGCTTCTTGGAGTTGGTCGTGAACAAGAAGACCTCCGAGCCAGGCTGGTGAGTCATGCGTTGTTTGCGGTCCATGGGCGTGCCGCAAGTGTGGATCGATGCTAATGTGTTGCGTGCCGTGTTTGCCTCGATGATTGTCGTGGTTTGGCAAGGCAACTTCGGCAAGGGCAACCTTGGCCTCGGCAACGTTGGCTTCGGCAGCTCCGTCCAGAACCCTGAGCTGAGGCAACGGAGTCGGCACATGTTGGATTGTCTTAGCTCAATGATCGAGAGAGGAGAGATTGGGAAAACAATCCTTCTTTTGCTCCAGCACCTCTTTTCCAAAATTTCAAAGGTAGGTGAAAGGAGAGAGTTTTGGCAGCCTTGGCAGGTGTATTTTGATTGTTTCGCTTTGGGTTGTATTATTTGAGTCTTGACCGTCGCAACAATTAAGCATACGTTTTATTCTTTTTTAATTGGGTCGAAGAAGAAGTAAGAGAAGCAAACCATTGATTAAAAGGACAAAACGGAATAGGATTGTTCTTTCCAGTTTCTTTACTTTCATATACTATTTTATCTCTTCATCTTTTCTTCTTTCCAATATTGTTTTCCCGATTCTTTTTGTAGTTTGTTGTATGCTGGAAACTCATTTTGGAATCTGCATGTTTTTTTCTTCAAACACTAGACATCTTATGGTTGCTGATCTTTCTAATCCTTCATTATTTATGTTTACTTCTGTTTCCAAGCCATTTCCATATCAAACAAAGATAAACTGAGAAGGACTCTGAAAGGTGTCTTAGAAATCAAGCATGAGTCTAATAACCAAAAGAAACATTGAGAGATACACATGAGTTTACCAAGCACGACCTGTCAGGACCAAGAAACTGAATGCCGAGCTTGCCAACGGACGCCTGGCCATGATGGCCATCATTGGCATGTGCCCTGGCATTTATTATTATTTATGTATTTATTGCTTGCCAATGTCCCGCGAAATTCACCGCTGTCCGCAACGGCAGAGTACACGAGGATGTATCCAGCTAGGAGTTCAGTTGCCGACTTGCAGGGTATTCATACTTGTATGTATGGAGAACATATATATATATATATGTATGTATACATACTTTAAGGCAACACAGTATATACACATGCATAAGTTTATTGGCATCATATGGATGCGCATGCTGTGTGCTTCGGCTAAAAGGAAGGGGATGGTCTTTCAGCCTTGGCAATGGATTTGGACAACCTCTAGTCATGTTCCTATATGAAAATCAATGCCTGATATTATATATATATGCATACATATGGGGACAACACATATTTGACCAAGTCACGCATGACTACATGGTTTTCCAGCAGCGCATAGTTGGTAGATGTCTTGAGCAACCAGGGAGTACCAAGACTTGAACTTGTCCACAGTTGCCATCCCTCATTTCATTCGGGCCAGCAACAAGCATTGGTTGTGGACCTGGCATCATACAGTTTTGTTTGTGTGTTTGTAGGCTAAGGAAGAAGCTGGTTTGTAAGGGTGTTTCTGGCTTACACATGTTTGGACCATGTTGGTTTACCATTTCAGTACTGAAGAAGGGTATGCACGCACGATGCGTGCGGCATGCAAGAGGCATTCACTTCTGGAAGTATCCTAGCGCGGAAGGTTCTTCCAGGACGGCCTCACCGGCTCTGCCTGGGGAGACTGGGCCAACTACACTGACTCGCCCCTCCGAGCCTTCGAGGGTGAGCTGGGCGTGCCTCGACCGGAAATGTTTGCAGAGTGACGCGGCAGAGGACGGGGCATGGTAGGATAGTGGGGGTGGACGAAGCGGCACGGGCAGAATTTGAGAGCGTAGACGGCAGTCCGAACGGCTTAGGTGCAGCCTCCTGTGGGCTTTTGGGACCCCTTGGGCCTGTCTGCGGATGGCGACGTGGAGGTGTTCAAGCGCCGCCGCGAGACCGAGCTGAAGCATGGCAGGCGGCTGGGGCGCTGATTAGCATGTGTTCAAGCGGCAAAGCTTTGAGGCAGCATATATATATATACAGACACATGTGAGCACCGTGAGCACACGGCACGCTCGCGCTGCGTCCCATGGTTCGGCGATGTTGCTCAATGTGTCAGCCTCATACCGGCAGCTGCTTGCTGAGGATCTCCATGTACGCTTGCATGGGTTACATTGTTCCGGAGTACTTCAAGTTCCCGGGAGAGCTCTCCCCAAAGATGGGCCTGAAGTTTGCGGACATCCCCAACGGACTCGCTGCCCTCACCAAGGCCCCAGACAAAATAGAGGGAGAGAGGGAGTGGAAGAGAAGACAGAAGGGGGGGGTGAGAGACGTGCAGCGAATATGACAGCAAGGAGGACGTTTAGATAGAGAGAGATTCGCAAACCTGAGGTGCCGGGGCAGGGCTGGGCGCAGATTGTGGCCTTCTTGGGCACATATGAGCTCTTCATCAACGGCAAGACTGTGCCATGGTCGCATCAGTTGAAACGCAGATGTCAAATGTGTCCATTTGCCTGAAATATGCAGAGCTAGGCGCCAGCAGTGTGACTGCAATGCCTTTGTTGCCATGGAATGACGTGAGCCATTGGTTTTGACTGATCCTACTTGCCGTTCATGTTACTAGTCGCTGCTTGCGGCATAAGATCAATTCGATTATTCGATCACCTGCCTCTGCAAAAAGCAGACCGCTTGTGACAACATTCGTATTTATGCTCGACTCACAGCATTTGGAGGAGCTGTTCCCCAATATCTCAACAGATGCCATCCCAATTGCGCTGCACGCACATGAGGTCGGCGATGAGCCGGGCAACTATGGCAAGGGCAACCTTGGCTTGGGCTTCCTTGGGCCTGTCACGAACCCGGATGCACGCAAGAAGAAGCTTTCGGCCGAGCTGGCAAACGGCCGCCTGGCCATGATGGCCATCATTGGCATGCAGCTTGGCGAGGTAAGGCTGCTGGCTGCTGCTGGCTGTGGGTCGTGTGTCAGACCTTTGTGGATTGTGTGTCAATGCTGTGTGCACGTTTGTAGGCTGGACGTGTGTGTGGCCCAGGTTCTTCCAAGACGGCCTTACCGGTTCCGCCTGGGGAGACTGGGCGCTGTACACCGACTCTCCTCTGCGTATCTGGGCCTTGTTGGCTTGATGCATCCGTGCAGGTTTTGTATGCGACTTGCACAAGACAGGATGACTGGACGCCTGAAGGGATGATCTGCAACAGCCAACATACTCCGAGGCAGCGGTGTCAAGAGCCCTGGCTACAACACCCTGCCGGAGTTCGAGAAGCCTAAGAACGGCTTTGGGCTGAGCATTGTTTTCCTTAAACGCGTTTTCGTGTGCACGTGCGACTTGAAGTGTATGATTTGCTGCACGTGCACGAGCTGCCTTGGTGATAGCAGATGTGAGGCTTCGAGGGTCTGGTGGGCGACCAGGCGCCTGTCGGCTTCTGGGACCCCCTGGGTCTGTCCAAGGACAAGGACGTGGAGGTCTTCAAGAGGCCGAGCGGGAGGAAATGGGAGATGAGTTGCCCAGGATTGATGCGTTGCAACGGCCATGCAAACGCTATTTTGCAGCTTTACTCAAGCTGCTGAGGCTTTGTTGACTTGTTTTCTTGGAACCAAAAGGCGCCGCGAGACGGAGATCAAGCACGGACGAGTCGCCATGTTTGCGACCATGGGCCGACTCCTTAGCTTGAGAATTCCAGACAATTTGCGTTGAAGCTTTCCATTGCAGTTCTTGGATGAGCACTGTTTACCTTTGGAAATGGACAAGTTTTGGATGCTTTTTCAGTGTTGGCACTTGGTGTAATTGTGCTTTGAGGCTACATCGCTCCTGAGTACTACAAGTTTGATGGCTACCTGTCCCCATCCATGAACCTTAAGTTCACTGATGTGCCCAACGGTCTGAAGGCGCTAGTGCTTCTGAGTTTCTTGGAGTCACACTGTTCATATTTGGCTGTCAGAGCAGCACGGTGACGCGGTCGCATATATGCCTTGGTCCAAACACCCCTCTGGTCATGAGTTCTTTACTTGCAGTTTAGGCAACAGTAATAAGTAATCCTTCTACAGGAGTACTAAAGGAGCCATGACCATGATCTACAAGGAGCTTTGACCACAACACATATGATGCCAACTCAACTTTGGCAGGCGCTCTCCGTGGTGCCCAAGGAGGGCTGGGCTCAGATGGTTGCGTTCGCCGGCTTCTTGGAGTTGGTCGTGAACAAGAAGACCTCCGAGCCAGGCTGGTGAGTCATGCGTTGTTTGCGGTCCATGGGCGTGCTGGATCGATGCTAATGTGTTGCCTGCCGTGTTTGCCTCGATGATTGTCGTGGTTTGGCAAGGCAACTTCGGCAAGGGCAACCTTGGCCTCGGCAACGTTGGCTTCGGCAGCTCCGTCCAGAACCCTGAGCTGAGGCAACGGAGTCGGCACATGTTGGATTGTCTTAGTTCAATCGGCAAGCCCGTGATGCTTCTTAGTGGGCTTTACCAAGCACTCCCTGTCAGGACCAAGAAGTTGAATGCCGAGCTTGCCAACGGCCGCCTGGCCATGATGGCCATCATTGGCATGCAGCTTGGCGAGGTAAGGCACGTTTGTAGGCTGGACGTGTGTGTGGCCCAGGTTCTTCCAAGACGGCCTTACCGGTTCCGCCTGGGGAGACTGGGCGCTGTACACCGACTCTCCTCTGCGTATCTGGGCCTTGTTGGCTTGCAGGTTTTGTATGCGACTTGCAAAAGACAGGATGACTGGACGCCTGAAGGGATGATCTGCAACAGCCAACATACTCCGAGGCAGCGGTGTCAAGAGCCCTGGCTACAACACCCTGCCGGAGTTCGAGAAGCCTAAGAACGGCTTTGGGCTGAGCATTGTTGCTTTAAACGCGTTTTCGCGCGCACGTGCGACTTGAAGTGTATGATTTGCTGCACGTGCACGAGCTGCCTTGGTGATAGCAGATGTGAGGCTTCGAGGGTCTGGTGGGCGACCAGGCGCCTGTCGGCTTCTGGGACCCCCTGGGTCTGTCCAAGGACAAGGACGTGGAGGTCTTCAAGAGGCCGAGCGGGAGGAAAGATGGGAGATGAGTTGCCCAGGATTGATGCGTTGCAACGGCCATGCAAACGCTATTTTGCAGCTTTACTCAAGCTGCTGAGGCTTTGTTGACTTGTTTTCTTGGACCAGCAGGCGCCGCGAGACGGAGATCAAGCACGGACGAGTCGCCATGTTTGCGACCATGGGCCGATTCCTTAGCTTGAGAATTCCAGACAATTTGCGTTGAAGCTTTCCATTGCAGTTCTTGGATGAGCACTGTTTACCTTTGGAAATGGACAAGTTTTGGATGCTTTTTCATTGTTGGCACTTGGTGTAATTGTGCTTTGAGGCTACATCGCTCCTGAGTACTACAAGTTTGATGGCTACCTGTCCCCATCCATGAACCTTAAGTTCACTGATGTGCCCAACGGTCTGAAGGCGCTAGTGCTTCTGAGTTTCTTGGAGTCACACTGTTCATATTCGGCTGCCAGAAGAAGGCGTGGTTGCACTTGGCAGGCGCTCTCCGTGGTGCCCAAGGAGGGCTGGGCTCAGATGGTTGCGTTCGCCGGCTTCTTGGAGTTGGTCGTGAACAAGAAGACCTCCGAGCCAGGCTGGTGAGTCATGCGTTGTTTGCGGTCCATGGGCGTGCCGCAAGTGTGGGTCGATGCCAATTTGTTGCGTGCCGTGTTTGCCTCGATGGTTGTCGTGGTTTGGTAAGGCAACTTCGGCAAGGGCAACCTTGGCCTCGGCAACGTTGGCTTCGGCAGCTCCGTCCAGAACCCTGAGCTGAGGCAACGGAGTCGGCACATGTTGGATCGTCTGAGTTCAATCGGCAAGCCTGTGATGCTTCTTAGTGGGCTTTACCAAGCACTCCCTGTCAGGACCAAGAAGTTGAATGCCGAGCTTGCCAACGGACGCCTGGCCATGATGGCCATCATTGGCATGCGACCTGCCATACAAGTACTCACCAATATTCACTGAGCGTTGTTCGCATGGCTTTTGGCAATTGCAAGATGCCTTATAGCACAAGCGCAGCTAGGCCCCCTGAGCAAGATTTTGGTATGGCAAGGTTCTTCCAGGACGGCCTTACCGGTTCCGCCTGGGGAGACTGGGCGCTGTACACCGACTCTCCTCTGCGTATCTGGGCCTTGTTGGCTTGATGCATCCGTGCAGGTTTTGTATGCGACTTGCACAAGACAGGATGACTGGACGCCTGAAGGGATGATCTGCAACAGCCAACATACTCCGAGGCAGCGGTGTCAAGAGCCCTGGCTACAACACCCTGCCGGAGTTCGAGAAGCCTAAGAACGGCTTTGGGCTGAGCATTGTTGCTTTAAACGCGTTTTCGCGCGCACGTGCGACTTGAAGTGTATGATTTGCTGCACGTGCACGAGCTGCCTTGGTGATAGCAGATGTGAGGCTTCGAGGGTCTGGTGGGCGACCAGGCGCCTGTCGGCTTCTGGGACCCCCTGGGTCTGTCCAAGGACAAGGACGTGGAGGTCTTCAAGAGGCCGAGCGGGAGGAAAGATGGGAGATGAGTTGCCCAGGATTGATGCGTTGCAACGGCCATGCAAACGCTATTTTGCAGCTTTACTCAAGCTGCTGAGGCTTTGTTGACTTGTTTTCTTGGAACCAGCAGGCGCCGCGAGACGGAGATCAAGCACGGACGAGTCGCCATGTTTGCGACCATGGGCCGACTCCTTAGCTTGAGAATCCAATTTGCGTTGAAGCTTTCCATTGCAGTTCTTGGATGAGCACGTTTACCTTTGGAAATGGACAAGTTTTGGCTGCTTTTTCATTGTTGGCACTTGGTGTAATTGTGCTTTGAGGCTACATCGCTCCTGAGTACTACAAGTTTGATGGCTACCTGTCCCCATCCATGAACCTTAAGTTCACTGATGTGCCCAACGGTCTGAAGGCGCTAGTGCTTCTGAGTTTCTTGGAGTCACACTGTTCATATTCGGCTGCCAGAACAAGGCGTGGTGGCATTTGGCAGGCGCTCTCCGTGGTGCCCAAGGAGGGCTGGGCTCAGATGGTTGCGTTCGCCGGCTTCTTGGAGTTGGTCGTGAACAAGAAGACCTCCGAGCCAGGCTGGTGAGTCATGCGTTGTTTGCGGTCCATGGGCGTGCCGCAAGTGTGGGTCGATGCCAATTTGTTGCGTGCCGTGTTTGCCTCGATGGTTGTCGTGGTTTGGTAAGGCAACTTCGGCAAGGGCAACCTTGGCCTCGGCAACGTTGGCTTCGGCAGCTCCGTCCAGAACCCTGAGCTGAGGCAACGGAGTCGGCACATGTTGGATCGTCTGAGTTCAATCGGCAAGCCTGTGATGCTTCTTAGTGGGCTTTACCAATCACTCCCTGTCAGGACCAAGAAGTTGAATGCCGAGCTTGCCAACGGACGCCTGGCCATGATGGCCATCATTGGCATGTTCCCTGGTCACGCAACTGAGGCTTACATTTACTTAGACATCAATGTTTGCCGTATTTGCTCTACATTTACAGAACATGTACGCATGTGCCTATGCATGTACTCTTTGCATGTACTGTATAAACGTTTATGGGATGTATGTGTGTGTGTGTATTAAAGTCCAACTGCGTGGCAGCGTGCTTTTGCCACATTTCCTATGATTTTGACGAGATGCTCAAGCGCAAACGGCTACAGTGCATGTCTTAGGTATATTTTAGACGGTGTTTTTTTTGTTTTGTCTGAGGTTCTTCCAGGATGGCCTGACAGGATCTGCCTGGGGTGACTGGGCCAACTACACTGACTCGCCTCTCAGGGCCTTCGAGAAGGAGCTTGGGGTTGGGGACCCAGGACAAATTCACAAGTTATTCTTTTGCGCAAGTGTCGGTCCTTTCCACACTCTTGCAGACTGTTTGGGCAGAGACCTTCCGCAACTGCACACTTTCAATATACTGAGACTGCACACATGGCTCAGCGGCAGGGTCTTTTTTCCATGTTGACTTTGCAAGGTCCAGCCTCCTGTCGGCTTTTGGGACCCGCTTGGGTTCACTGCAGGCAAGGCACGAGCGCAAGATTTCGTGAGAGAATGCGTCTGAAATCCGCAGACATTTGAGAACCCCAAGCATGCGTGTGCGTTTGCTTTCCCAATCGGTGTTAAACAGCACATTGGTCTTTCAATTTACGAAGGTGGCGATGCCGCCTCCTTCCGCCGGCGCCGCTATGTTGAGCTGAAGCACGGCCGAGCCGTCCGGCAGAGAGGACTGGGGAGGTAGCCGCATGTTTTTCTACCACGAAAGATGCAACATAATCTAAGCATGGATGGTAGATGTTGCCCTTCCTGAAGCTTACAACTACATCTGATACGGAACATACAGCGTAATTACAAGGCAAACAAAAGCACCTGACTGAGAACATCAAATCAGAAAGCACAAACACATGGGAATACCAACAGACACGTTGAACACCTCAAGAAAACTAGAAGAGCAGGAACACAAACTCTGGGCAATATTGTTTGGCTCTAGTCCCAAACTGCTTTTTTCTTGCAATTTTATCGATATTTTGTTTGTTTCGCGTTCATATTTTGTGGGTTCTCCCAGGTATTTTGGGTTTGCTCAGTGTTTCAGTACCGTGTTTTTTTGTTTACCTTTTTGTGCGCATAATTATACTGTTTATATACATAGAGAGATGGTCCAGCAACATGTTCAACATTTGTGAATTGGAATAGTATGTTGGTTGGCTGGTTGGTTGGTTGGCTGGTTGGTTGGTTGGTTTGGTTTGGTTTGTTTGGTTTGTTTGTTTGTTTGGTTGGTTGGTTGGTTGGTTGGTTGGTTGGTTGGTTGGTTAGTTACTTAGTTGCTTAGTTACTTGGTTACTTGTTGCTTAGTTAAGTTGAGTAATATTAGCTAATGCAAACATATCATCGATGTTATATGCATACACTGCTTGTAGTCTGTTTCGCCATGATGAACATCTTTGCATGAACCACTGATTTGTGCTGACGTAGAACTTGATATGCAAAGTCATGGCCATTCGTGATTTCAACTATCAAGCACACTCTTGACGTTGGACGAGTCATCAATTTGTATTTCAAGGTGTCTACATGATATTATAGGTCGTCAACATTTGTGTTTAGCAATACTCAAGCTTCGCTGTTCCGTATTTCAAGCACGCGCATTTTTTCCTATCCACTTTGCATTTTGTTTGAACATATTATTCTAGCATTTTCCATGTCATTAGATCATGTTTTTAAAAGATGATACATTTAACATGAAAGTACATTATAAGTGAATGCAAACACACATGCTAGGGTCAATATTTGTTGAAGCAAGTGTTTTGCACTGCAACCAGGGTCTATTGATTTCAACAAGGGACATCGAGGAGAATTGCTCATGTGAGGAGCGATTGTTTAACTCATGATCAGATGTTCAATATAGTAATATTAGTTTGCATATACTATTTCAATGTTTTTATCACATGGATATCACACACACACAATATTATTCCATTGTATCAAACTGCAACATGTTCTAATTATTCACGAAATCTATAGTGCGTGATTTGATTCTTGCTGAACTTACCATGCATGCCGACTTTTTTTTGAGTGAATCAGTTTTCTTAGTACCATTCTATTGACATGTTGTTGTTTGGCACAATAGTATCACATATGTATGATACATATGCCTGAGCCCTCCCCCATGATCTACCTTTTGCACATCAAGCCCTTGGAATGAAGAAGTCATTCGCAAACATGACATGAAGAAGCATGAGCTATGTGAAGCAAATAAAACACATATGCATTGGGTTTCGGTTAGACGTGTGGGTGATATACTAAGATACACAAGCCTGAAGACTCGACTCAGGTGGCCATGTTTGCTTGCCTGGGCTACATCGTACCTGAGTACTACCGATGGCCTGGGGATCTCTCCCCTTCCCTGGGCCTGAAGTTCTCAGCGCTCTCGGCTGCAGCCATTGGCTTTCGGGGGTTCATGTCCACCAATCACGTTTGACTTTTGAGGTGGTTCCGAGGTGGTTCCCAAGCAAAATTCATGGCCAAATCAGGGTGCGTGGTTTTCTTTTCTCCTCGCCTGGAGGGCTTCGATACAGAGATCACATAAGACGGTGTCACCAAGGACGTGCCAACTGGCTTCGCTGCATTCTCCAAAGTGCCGCTGTCGGGCTGGGCGCAGATGGTGGCGTTTGCAGGCGCAGCACTTTCTAGCTGAAGGAAGTCCAAAGGTTTCAGAAGTATCACTCAAAGAGTTTACTGTGCAACGAATCTCTCTGTGTTGTTGAAGTAGTTCTGAGTCATTGTTCTTGCGCAAGCATATTCTACTGATGCATGCCACTAGTAAGTGGGAGTCGAGGCAGTGTTGAGCTCTTCCAGTATGTGGATGATCCCAAGAGGGCGCCGGGTGACTTCGAGAACGCTGGCTTCCTTGGCATCCCCAATGGCTTCGTCAAGATTTCCTCCCCAGAGGCAGGCAGCCAGCCTGGGCTCGATGGGTTTGGGTTGTTATGTATACATGAGGTTGACCTTACCATTCGAATTGTGTGTTTGTGTGACTGCTTGTGCCTTTTTGTGTACTCGCGCCTGAGGCCAAGGCAAAGAAGCTGTCGGCAGAGTTGGCCAACGGACGATTGGCAATGATGGCCATCATCGGCATGTTTTTCCAAAATGGCCTGACTGGATCCGCATGGGGCGACTGGGCCCTTTACACGGATTCGCCTTTGCGCGCTTTCGAGAAGGAGCTTGGAGTGCAAGCGCCGGTGGGATTCTGGGATCCGCTGGGCCTGGCTGCAGACGGCGACGTTGACACCTTCAAGCGCAGGAGGGCAGTGGAGTTGAAGCACGGCAGGATTTGCATGCTGGCATGCGTTGGCTACATTGTGCCGGAATACTTCAGATGGCCCGGTTACCTGTCGCCTGAGAAGGGCCTGAAATTTGCGGACATGCCGCACGGCATCGCTGCCGTCTCCAAGGTGCCTTTGGAGGGCTGGGTGCAGATCGTGCTGTTCCTGGGCCACATGGAGGGCTACTTCTGGCGCCAGGACCCCAAGCGTGCTCCCGGTGACTATGATGGTTATGGCTTCTTGGGTGTGGGCAAGAATTTCATTTTCAACTTTGAACCCATTGAGTTCAAGGACGCTGAGGTGAGAAAAACCAAGCTGGCAGCGGAGATCGCCAACGGGCGACTTGCCATGGTCGCTCTGATGGCGATGCTTTTCCAGAACGGCACTGTGGGAACCACAGGCCCTGCCATGTGGCTCCCAGCCGCATGAGTGCTGCTGTGGTAGGGGTACGAGTGCTTCGACCAACAGCCTTCTCCGGAAAAAGAAACACTTGCTGCCCTTGCGCTGGGTGCGGAGAGATGTGCAAACTGCAGTATCCACACAGTGATGAGGCATGTCAAACAAAAGCAGACACTTGTGCAAAAGAAGCACAAAGCAGTATCCTCAACAATGGAACTTTGGCCACCTGCGCACCGGCGGAAATGTGTCAAAGCAACTATGACGTCATGTCAGGCTGTTCATTCAGGCTGTTTATTTGGGGGATCGCACCATACATTGACTTGTTGAATCTGATAGGTTTTTTGCACCAGCTTCCACTCCGAAACTCCAAGCAGCCTTTGTTAATGTGTCAAGCTTGTGATTTTAAATTCGCACATCGAACTGGCTACACATCACTGGACGCACCCAGTGCCGTCCAGGCCCACGTGGCTTGCGTTAGGACCGCTAGGTCAGGTTTGTGCCTCGTCATCCCTGTGATTCCTTGCGATGCCCAGCATCAAGTTTTCTTGTTGAGTGTTGCTTCTAAACATTGTTTTTTGTTTTTGCGGCGGACGAGTGTGCAACGATCCCCGATGCTTGAGCAGTACACAGCAACTGTCCAGGTATGCTTGTTGCGAGGTGTACGGTGCTAGCTAGTTTGCTGCTGCTTGTTGTTGACTCGTACAACCAATCCAGAACAAAACGGGATGGCAGCGGGTCAAGGAGGAGAAGAGCACGTCTGTCCCACCAACAAACCGCGTCAAAGCAAACCAGCTCGATCTGCACCTTACCCAAGAGTGGTGGCGTCGCTGCTGCAGCTGTGATCTAGTCTATACGCATGTAGCCAAGACAAAAGCAAGCCAGGTAGCACAGGGCAGCAGCGTGTCTTGTCCCATGCTCACATTTCCCTGTGTCAGTGCGAAGTCCTTAACACATTTGTCTTTAGTTGTTAAGTCGGCAGCCTTGCATCCTGCAGCCTCTCCCTAGTTTGTCGCATCCCCGCGCGTCTTCCATCTTGCGTTCTGCCGCACTCCTTGGTGTGACCATGTCTTGCGTTTGCTTCCACTGAGTCCACAGCGGCGGGCTGAGCGACGTGCACAGCCCTGCGTTTTCTGCCATCGCAGCTCCGCTTCCCGCAGCCAGCCCCAGGCCCCATGCCCAAGCCCTGGGACTTCTGCAGCGCGTGGCCTTTTTTCGAGTCCCGCTTGCCGGCGCTCGCCCAACAGTCCGTGCTGCTTCCCACCCTACCTTGGCCGCAGCCTGGTCACTATCGGGGCCATTCCCAGGCCAGGCAAAGGCCTAGAACGTTTCCGAGGGTTCCAGCTGTCGCCATGCCAGGCTCCATCGCATAGCCCTGCCTGCGGCAGACCCCACGTCCAATGGACAAAGGCAAAGACGAAGAAAACGGCACCAGGCCTGGGACACCGCCTCGCAATCGCACAGTTCCAAGCTTGTCTTCAGCAGGGGCCGACATTGCAAGATTCACTTCCAACTTGTACTGCGCCGCCTTGACGCCCTCAACGTCCGCCCAGCGACTCCCCATCGTTTCCAACGGACCTGAATGCACTCGTCCGTGCCCTCCTACCCGCCGCAGTAGCAGATGCCGCCTGCAGGCAGAGCTCCTGGCTGCGCCCAACTGATCTTCACAAGACAAAACATGTGCCACGTGCATGTGAACATAGCACCCGCTTGGCGCGTGAAATCTGGCGGCTACGGCGCGCGGGGCTACCCGCAATGTGCGGACGCTGCCACGCCGAGGCGTCGTTTAGAACTCAATTTGACCTCGTAACGTTGCGCGTCAAGTGCGCCAGGCACATGCTCCATGATGGGCATTCCCAGTGACGGCAAAGCTTCCCGCGCATCACCGCCATTTTTGGGATGTCTGGTCAGAAATTTTCCCTTCGGTGCCTTTGATTTTCCTGAGGAAAATCTTTCCACTCTGCACTGCACCTCGCGCGAAAAACTCGCACACTTCCAGGTGTCCCAGCTTGGCTCCGGGCCGATCCTCTTGCCAGCTTGGATTCCAGCCGAGCTGTCACACCAGACCTTTGGTTTGGACACTGGCAGACCCAGCCCAGCAAGATCATGCAAGAACAGCGCTTCTCGGGCTGCTTTGGACACGCTTGTGTATTCAGCACTTTTGGACTACTCGGACTTGGGCCCCAGGCGTCGGGCCATGACAGTCTCGCCAAACTGGCAACTTGGCTGCGTGTAGTCAACCCACGAAACGGCGTTTAGCCGTGTTTGGCCCTACCGGAAATCGCCACAAGTTATGACTAACATCAAAATTTGCATCGGGGTAGCGAGCCCGAACGTCGGGTCCGGACCTGACCTGCGATGAGCTTGTTCATGGCCTCCACAGCGATCTCGGGGCTTGAAGCACGCACACTTATGCAGCACCGAGTTGACGCCGCATGGCATGTCTTGGTCGATCTGAAGGATCGTGCGGTCGTGTCCAAGGTTCTGCAAATACAGCTCCGCAGCTTGCAGTGCGTGGGTGCTGTTGCTGCGGCTCTCGCAAGTCGGCAGGTTCTTCCTCATTTTGGTTTGAAAGTTCTGCCTACTCAGCTTGGTCCTCGGCAGCTTGCTGCCCCCGTTGAGAATGAACATCTAGTGCTTGAGCTTCCGCATCATCCATGGGAACCTCAGCCGGAGCAACTTTGCGCTGGGCCTTTGCTGAGCTGGTTGCCTTGCCGGCGGAAATCTGCACTCCATCAAGCTTTCGGAAGAGAACAGCCATGTGCTTCGGTTGCTCCAGCCTGGCCTCACTGCGGCTTTTGCTGTTGCTCATGACGCAGCCTTGCTGGACTGTTTTTCGGACTTGTTGCAGTGCGGCCCTTTGCCAGCTCTCCCCGCTCGTGTCGCGCAGCTTCCCTTGCGCCTGGGGGGTCTCGGCCTGCGTTCTGCTGTTACTTCAGCCCCCGCCGCTTACTTGGCTTCCTGGGCCGATAGTTTGCCCGTTTTCCAACGCCAGCTCCCTGCGTTGCTCGAGGTAGCCCTTCCCCACCTCGAAGCTGGCGTCAGCCCCGCCTTGTGCTTGCAGGCTGCTGCTGCAGCCGTCGCCGGCTTGTCCTCTCCCTCCTGGCGTCCCCCCACTTGGCGTGAGCTTTTGGCCGGGGCCGAGCCTGCTCCTTTGCTTGAGGACTCTGATGGCCTCGCCTTGCTTGGATACGTTTGCCCTTCGGCGGCTCCGACTCCCCCTTCCCATCTCCGATCGCGCTTGCCGATGCCGTCGCCGCCTCGACCCCCTTTGCGACCACCGCGCAGCGTGCGCCCGGGCTGGGTTGTTGCGGAGCCGCGGTTGCCCTCTCGAGCGAGCGGCCGCTCGGGTTTGCCGCGAGGCGGGCGCTCGAGTCACCGTCAACTCACGCCTTGCGGACATGAACCTCCCGGTCGACCGCCTCGATGACCGGCGCCTTGAGGTTGTCGCCAACGGGCTCCCCCTTTGGAATGGCGCTCAGGTAGCGGTCGATACCACGTTGGTCTCGCCTCTTTCCTCTTCCGGCAAGCCCCGTAGACATGCTGGCCGCGTTGACGGGGCCGCCCTGCGCGAGGCCCGGCGCCGGAAGGAGCGCACCTACCCGGAGCTGCTGCGATCCCAGCGGTGCTGCCTTGTCGTGCTTGCCATCGAGGTCGGGGGCCGGTGGAGCCCTGAAGCGTGCAGCTTCCTCCGCAGCCTCGCTCGTGCGCTCGCTCCACGCCGGCCCTCCTTCGGCCTTCAGTCGTGTCCGCTTTCGTTGCCCGTTGGTCCGCCTTGCTCGCGTCTGCCGCCCACCAGGCTTTCGCGCAATCCCTCCTCCTTGGCTCTGTCTCGCCTGGCCAGTCCAACTGTGACGGCGACGCTCCCCCACTCAGTGAGCTCCTTGCGGAGGCCGCCGCCCCTTGCAAGCCGCTTGAGCAGGTGAGGACGCTGGCCTCCAAAAAGCAGCGTGAGTGCCCCTGGTGCCTGGGGGACCCCCTTAAGCAGGGTTTCGGGAGACTCGACTCGTGCTGGTGCACAAAAGCGTGCGAGAAAAAAAAGAGGAGAACAGCCGACGTGAGCGTTCTGAGTGTTCTAAGTCTCGTTGCGCCCCATTGCTATTGCCAGCCAAGGGCGGCCAGCACACCTGGAGAATCATTGACAAAGTGTGGTTCCTTGCGCCTGTTTGGGAATTCTTGACTTGAATGCGTTTTTTTGGGGCACCTTTTTTTGCGTCTTGCCAAGCGGTGAGACACGTGCTTATGGAGGAGCCCCGGGGGTGGCGTGGGCCGGCGCTAAAAAAGGGGTGGGGGGCCAAGAACATCACCGAAGACGGGTGACGAGGGGCGGTGGGCAAGCCGAGTCCGCAAGGAGTTTTCTGAGGCGGCCCAGCGCCGCCAAAGCCAGACCGGCCAGCGCTGACGCGACCCTCGAGGAGAGACTCTGCGAAGGACAGCCGAGCCGCAAAAGGAAGGAACGCCGACCAGCGAGCAGCAAAGGCGGCAGCATTGGCGGAGCGGAAGGGAAGGGGGAACTCACGCGCTCGAGCGCGAGCCAGGAGGCGGACAAATGACGCAGCTTCCTCGCTCCACCTCCGACTTCAAGGCGAGGACAACGAGGCGGCACCGGTGGGCCCGGAAGAGCTCCGGGTAGGCGCGCTCCTCCCGCAGGCGGGCTTCAACGAGTGCCGCGCCCGAGTGCGCCCGCCACGCTGGCGAGGCCGGCCGGCCGAATCCAAGGATAACACGAGAGTTGTGTCAACGGCGAGTTGGGCGCCGCCCCACAGCGGGAGACCGTTGGCGACGACTTCCAAGCCGGCGGTCGTTGAGGCGATCGACGGCCAAGGTGAGGTCAGCCAGGCTGGTGTTGGAAGTCACCCGTGCCCCAGCCTCACGGCAAACCCGAGCAGCGGTGAAGTTCCGCCGGGGGCTCAAACACGGCAATCCTTTTGTGCTTGATGCTTAGCGCCATGAAACTCAGCGCCAGCTGCAACAGCTGTTTGGCCGCCCAAACTTGAGTTCCTTCTGCTTAAGGTCTTTCAGCTCCAAGGGAC